TTTCCAATGTGCCTCCGTAACGCAGCGAACGCTCGTTTGGAATTTGATCCGCTGCCTCGTCAATGGAAAACGAGCCTTTTCTAAATGCTTTCCCACAGTTTCGAGAGTTAAGCTGTACCACAGCTGGTTTTGTAAGCGTTGCCGACAAATCCATGGCTACCCTAAGCTATGACCATCGCATTATATTTATACTCAAAACCAGTTATGCCGGCCAGAAGACACTCAAGAGGTGATCAAACGAACGTGTACATTGGAATATTCAATTGAATCTACATGCAGCGATGTCCTTATGATTTTCAACTTAAAGATGCCACTTACACATTAAATATGTTGATTATTGGCAATAATCACACCAAATCACCAGTTAGCAATCAACGTGAACGTACAATCGATTCGACTGAAAATAATTTGAAGGATACTATTATGATGAGCCCAGAAAAGATTATAACGTGATTTGATTCGGTTACAAGAAGAAAACAACGCGCAGGTGAATCTTTATCTTTCAGATTGAAACAACATTAAAAAGAAGCTTGATCTCGATCTTAGCTTTGAAAATTCACATGGCGATGGTGAAGGCGACATCAACCGCAGCCCTGCTCGCTTATCTATTTCGACAGATAAGCCGTTTGATAAAGCTACGTGTCTCATAGTCCATTTAAGTATCGGTATTTGTTACTAATCTATTTTTATTGCATTTATAAATAGATGCCCATCAGCTTCATGATGTATGGCGTGAATAGACGATACGAATTGTTATAAATACTGTTTTGTTGTTATAAAAGTTAGTTTGCATGAAGGCGCAACAAATGAAGCAGTTGGAAAAGCCACTACGCGATTATTTATATTTAACAAACGAAAGCAAACTAGCCAAGTTTTTTCGAAAGAAACATCAACCATTAGATTGCGGTAGGAAACTGTTGCAGTTGGATTTCTTAACCCAATCAATAAAATTGGAAACTTACAATAATTGTACAATCGAACAATAGTAGTCAGCAGAAAAGCATCATCGTTTCTTTTTTGTATTCCAGTGAGAAAATCAGTAGTTTTATTGTATATTGTTGACAGAGTCCAAGCAATTTGGACAGCAAAGATGTAAACTTGAGAACTTGGCGAAGACTGCTGTGGCGACTTCGATTAATGGCTATTTTGGAATCTCACGCAACTGACTTACGGGATATGCATGTGAATGAGGTAAGGGGCGCGTGATTACCTGACATAACTGAATGCCAAGAGATGCTGAACGTCAGCTCTTTACATTCTCGTCAGTTGAAGCTATTGGAATCACAAGTCATCACAAATCGGAAATAACAAGAGGATGGTCAAGAAATTGAAATATCCCAAGTAGTAAATGGCCGAGTGTCTCGAACAAATACGAAGGGGCTACGAACGCATCAATCTTTATAAGACAGCAGCTCAATTGAACAAGACGGAAAAGCCCCAATTTGAACAGCCGAATCGGGTATTGCAAAATACCAAATAGCAGAACAGGGCAACGACTGGCACAGCATCCAAGCTGGTGCGCGGCGGCACCAAGTAACGAGCAGAACTGGAAATCAAGGTGAGATCGGCTACTGCCGGCTACTACGCACGAGAGAGCCGCCGCGTCGCTTCTATTTATAGCTCGCCGTGGCGGCAGAGAGGCCTGCGGGCACTTTACTGGGTCAATCGACGACTACCGGACTCTCGTTATCTCCTTCCTTCCCTTCCTCGACACACGATCTCCTTCAACTTGTCATTTCAGCTGCCTCGCCTCGCCAACGGGGCTCTTTCGCCGCCTATCTGCGTTTCTTTTCGGCCTTGTGGCTCCATCGAAAAAGGAAAGCTCGTTGAGCACGAATTTCCAGAGCCATTCTTATTCTCGCTTGGGAAGGCTTCAATCAACTCACAACTCTGTACAGTTACGTATTCTTATAAATACTCGATTTCATTGGAAATCTACCAGTACTTGTAAACAGAGGCATTCTTCGGAAATGCAGCCATAAATATTAAAAAAGTAATGATAAAAGTAACGATAAAGATAAGTGAACGCTAATGAAATGAAGTAATGCTCAAAAAAGAGTTTCAGTTGCATAACTATAACTTGATGAACGATGAACGTTATCAAAGCAAAGTTTTATTATGCGTAATTAGAATTGCTCCGAGGAAATAATACTGGTGCGCAATCGACCTGCTCAAACTACAGCGGACAGCCTCTCATCGACATTTCAAGTTTCCTCTCTCTCTCTCTCTCTCTCTATCCTCCATCAATATCTTTCATTCTTCGTACAATAAGATTATCAATAGATTGTCTGCAGAATTTATCCTGTTCAAGATCTTCAGTCAACTTTACGGGCTTCGAGGTTCAGCTAATATCATTTATCGCCACCTACCCGATGTGAATCGATAGCCTCTTATCGTATTTATCAGATAAAAGTATGCATCATAGCAAATGAGTAACTCGCGAATGTTGTGAAAAGCGTGTTATTACTGTGTCTGCGCAGGCGAGCGCTATACTTTAGCAGAGCTTTAACGCGCGCGCGTCACAATAAAATTATATCGTTGAGAGAGGCTGCGAGCTGCCGATGTTCACGCAACCGTGAGCGAAGTCGCTCTGCCGAAAATTTAGGATGCACAAGTGCATCGCGCTCGAAGGTTTTTCCATTCTAAAGGATAATATTTCATAGAAGCCCACTAAAATAGGACTGAAGGAGACACACGTGCGGTTATTAAAGAAGGCGACCCAAAACAGGGAATTACGATTTATAGCCAGGCGAATCTCACCGTTCTGGCCATATACTCGAAAGTCCTTGTCAAAACACGCTCCATTTCTTTTCAGCTACTTTTATTACGCTCAAAGGAAAATTCACGAGCTGGCGTCAAACATTTAGCGTACATTTGTGTTCGATAAAATTATTCTAACAACTTGTAATTTTTCATGAAAATAACCTTTTCATCTAAATTTGAGAGCTAATCCCTGATTAAACAACTACAAACTTCACATCTACATTTTCTTAATTCAATTACGTTTTGTTGGACGGTTTGCTAACCTCTTCAGATATTTAGTTTTGCAAAGTAAAAAAGTTTTAATATACAAGATATCAATATCAATACGTGTAAATACAGTTAAAACAATAGAATAGTGAACACAATAAAACTACCTTGAATGAGAAAACTATTAAATGATGTCACAAGTATCAATGCTAAACAAGATTGTCACAATTACAAAGAGCACACTTTTTTTCCTTTATCTTTTCAGTTTTAATAACTATATACAATAGCTAGTGTAAACGTAGAGTGGCTCAGTCAAACTGAAAGTCAACTTAATGAGGCATATCGAATACCTTTAATTCCCTCTATATCCTAAGTCATTAAAACTATATATCTCAAAGCAGAAGGACTAAGTATGCAATGTACACAATAAACACGCCGATAATACACAATAAATTGTCTCTGTCAAGAAATTATAAGTCAGTAGTTGTAAACATATAGAGTTGTCAACAAGCTCAATTATTCCTAGAAGTTATAAACTAATATTATCCTTGGCGTGAAACTTAATTGAGAATCTTCTATCGTCTACTTGAGTAATTGAATATCCTCTTGCTTATTTAATTGGACATTTTGACGTATTGATGACAATCATCTCAAATATCAATCTCGTAATTATCAGATTCTCTATTCAAAATTATTGTATTTTTCCAGTCAAATGTTGAGACGAATAATTTTTTAAGTGTAACAGTAGAGATAGTGATTTTTTCAAAGAAGTCCTTTTATGTTATCTTCAATACGTTTTTCTAACTTTCTTTTTGTTTCACCAATGTAGGTAGTTGTGCAGTTGTTGCAAATGAGTTAATACATTATTCCAGTTTCATTCCATTTATTCGATATACCTTTTATTCTAACTTTATTACATTATTGGATTTATGATAAATAAGAGGAACATTATGTATATTGAATTTTTCAAAACTAGATTTACATTGGTAAAAATATTTTTTACGTAATGGTAGAGATAGAAACTTGATATTCTTTTTTTCTTTACAATTATGAGTATTAATAATATACAAGCATCAATAAATTTTTATGGATATCATTGTTTTTCGAAATATTCTTCACTAATTTTATATTAATATTATGAAAGGAGACGTCGGCCAATAGTAAAGCTTTATTGATTAGGTTGAATATAATATTTCGTTTTTGCTGCGTGTATTGTAATTTGAATGATACTTTGAAATTGTTCCCAAGAAAGAGGGTTTCAGAAACCAATTAATAATAATTTTATTATTTTTAATAATTAGACAAACATCCAAGAAATTAATGCTATTGTCAGATTACATTTCATGTGTGAACTTTATATAACTGTTGTAATTATTAAAAGTATCCATTACTAACCACGTCAATATACATTATATTCCTCTAATCAATCATAAACTTAATAATGTAATAAAGTTAAGAAAAGATATAATGGAATAAACGGAGTGAAACTGGAATAGTGTATAAACTAATTTGCAACAACTTCACAGCTACCTATATTGGTGAAACAAAAAGTAATTTAGAAAAACGTATTGAAGAGAATATAAAAGGACTTCTTTGAAAAAATCACTACCCATACCGTTGTACTTAAAAAATTATTCGTCTCAATATTTGACTGGGAAAATACAATGATTTTGAATAGAGAATCTAATAATTACAAGATTATTATTTGAAATGATTGTTATCAATACGTCAAAATGCACAATTAAATAAGCAAGGGGATATTCAATTGCTAAGTAAACAATACGAGAATCTCAATTATGTTTCACGTCAGGGATAATATTAGTTTATAACTTTTAGCAATAATTGAGCTTATTGACAACTCTATATGTTTACAACTACTGACTTATAATTTCTTGACAGAGACAATTGTGTTTTATCAGCGTTTTCATTATATACGTTGCTTACTTGATCTTCTACTTTAAGATATGTAGGTTTAATCTCTTAGGATGTAAAGGGAATTAAAGGTATTTGATCCGCCATATTACGTTGACTTTCAGTTTAACTGCACCACTCAACTTTGACAGTAGTTTTTGTTTATTGTGTATAATAAAGTGATGGATCCTATTTTGAAGTATATTATTTGTGATCTGATTGGCTGAGATATAATCACACGATATACTAGTATGACGGCAAACAAGCGTATCGATGTGGTTTCGAGTTGAGATTTTAGTAATAAAAATTCATTTGATCCTAATTGATATGGATAATTTTCCAGATAATATAAATAATGAAGATAATAAAAAAATTTAGGCTGCAATGTTATTGCTTTTACACTCATTTTATGAAACTAACAACGAGTAAATTGTTTGATAAAAGCAAGAGGTTATTATTCTCATTATTTTCTATTACAAATTGATAATATGATATTTGAAGGTGTAAGATTAAATAATTGTAGTAATGTCGCAAGAGTAGGATAAATTTGACCCTTATAGTTGAAAAGAACTTTGGGAGCGGGGTACGAGGTGCGATGTGAGTAGAAAAGAAAAGTAAAGGACAACGAATTTTTGGTTTATTTTGTTGAAGGAATTGTTAATATGTCTGTTACGGGACTGCGTTTATTCGAACTACATTACAAGTGATAACGCGCTCTGAGAACGTGTGCCGCGCGTCGAGACTCCAGAGGAACTGAAAGCGGTAGTACTTGTCGTTGTTTTATGTGTAAATTTTTGGAGGCGTGGAAAGGGAAAAACAAATATAAAAAATGTAAGGAAAAATGGGTTTTCCCCGAGACGTGCAAGAAATAAAAGGAAGTTCAGGGACAGGATGGAAAACAGGAGAAATTGTAACTACTCAGATTTATTGGCGGTTGTAACAGTGTAGGCGTAATTAGTGTAATGGTGGGGAAATCCCAAAAAGGAAAAAAAAAGGTTACTCAGGTATTTGGAAACGGATCGGATTGTTTCGGGTATTCGTGTGTATGTGTGTGTGTGTGCGAGTGTATACTGCGTGGCCACCACAGAACTATAGAGATTGTTTATAGCAGTTTTCGATATGAGACAAAAAAATTGCAAAAAGAAAATAATTATTCGATAATGATTGGAGGATCTGATTGAAAAACCGAAAGCACAGAAAAATTGCGCGGATTTTTTGATAACGAATGGAAAAATCCTTTTTAACATCCAACTATTACAACGCTCTCGCAGTTCGGAAAACACCAAATTTGAGGTATTTTACATTAGGAATTGTTTTTTTTAATGAAAATCTAATTGCTAAAATATAATTGATTTTTTAATGAATTTTCCTACCGTTGCTAATCACTTACAGTTTTTCTATAACATTTCCTTAGCGATTCCTTACAATTTCTCCCCAACTTCCTTTATTTAAAAAAGTGTGCTCTTTGTAATTGTGACATTATTTAATAGTTTTCTCATTTAAAGGTAGTTTCGTTATATTTTACTATTCATATTGTTTTAACTGTATTTACACATATTGATATCTTATAGTTTAAAACTTTTTTACTTTGGAAAACTAAAGATCCGAAGAGGTTAATTAAACGTTCAACTAAACGTAATCAAATTAAGAAAATGTATACGTGAAATTGATAGTTATTTAATCAGGGACCAGCCTTCACATTTGAATGAAAACACCAGTTTATTTAATTTAAAGAGAGTGAAACCAATACTGAAGAGAGTAATAATTTATCATTATTCCCTGATGCGATGTGTGTACAAATAATACACTTTAATAAACCAATTCATATATAACATTGCAATCTTGTTTGTTATTTCACTTTAACACGCTATTAAAAAATATCCAATTACATTTTAAATCAAGTTGCTTTTTTTTCAGTTCGCGCCAATCAGTGACATGGAAAATTCAAAATGTGAAAGTCCCTATAGCACCAAACTAGCTTTCTAGGCAACGCTGCCGGCTGCTCATACACGTGAAAGTTAAGAGTTCGCGCCTATAATGTAATCAATGAATTATTTGATAAACACGCAATTATAAACGCCCGATATACATACAATTATTTTATTGTTTTCAAAATAGAGTGCCTGACGTATTTCAAGGAATTGAGTGCATTACATTCAATGTGGAAAGATATGAAACATTCGACTTTGAGGTTGTAAGCTGGTACTTGGCGGAACTGAATATAGTTTAGCACCAGCACTTATTATTTTAACGAAAATGGATTTCGATATAAATCTGTTTTTCAATTTTATACCATTCATTTCTATTACAACCATTACGTTAATCACCTGTACGACTGCATTTTATAAAATAAGGCAAGTATTTTTCTTGTACAAAAATAAATGATATATTTCTTTTTTCGCTTTTTTTACATTACTAAAATTTTTTTGTGATATCTACTATGTGTGAGCAGAAATCGTTTGCCAGTGAAAGTGAATTGTTGGTTTTGCAATTGCAATGTAAAAGTTCAAAGGCAGTCCCTTGATTGGTGGTTTTGTCCACATTGTGAACAATACAACGGCTTTCGTAAGGTAAAATTAGTATATATTTATTTCTAGTTTTGTAACGTATTTGTAATTTGTATATTTCAGTAAAAATTCAATTTTCAGGATGGAGATTATAAATATGAAATACCTGAACAACATAGAATAAAACATAGAAGTAGCATTACAGATAAGTCATATTGTCAAAGGAAAACTTTTCAACCAAGTCAAAACAGTCTTTGTGAAAAATGCAATACGAAAGAAGAAATCAAATTGAACAAATTACGAGAACTTGAAGACTCAGTAGATGAATTTGATGATAAGAAACTGTTACGATTTGAATCAAAATTTGAAAAGAAATTTCCATTATGTTCAAAATGTCAATCAATAGTAAAAAATGTATTGCATCAACAAAGGGTATGGATAACTCAATATAAGATGCTCCTATTCAAACAAAAGCCAATCAAAAGATTGATTATGGTAAACTACTTAGATTCATTTGCATTTTTTTATTTAACTGAATACATATGGAGATAGATTTAATATTGACTTACATATTTTTAGAATCGAGAATGGATTGAAAGAGTTGTACGAGTACTTTTATCAATTCTAGCTTCAGTAGCTATTTACTTTACTGAAGCTTGGTATCTTCCACTGAGTGGAATATTATTTCAATTAGTTGCTTGCATTGCAAGTCCAGCTGGAAATCGAAAATTTGATATTTTTCCAATAATTGGATGGACTTGTCTCGTTTTGATCAGAGCTTTCTCAACCACTGCCATTTTGAAAGTGTTCAAGATATATTTTAATAATGATTGGGTATCTGATCATGATAATACATATAATTACTTTGTAAGTATTTTCTTTTAATAATCACATTCTGTTTACTGCAAAGTTATAAAGAATCATCGATCACATTTTCATATCTTTTAGATTATTACTCTTAGTACAGCAGTAGGATTATCCAACTTGAAATTTAAGTCATCAAAATCAATCACAAATGGATCTCTAGCTTTTAAAAAATTAGAATCTTCATCTTTAAAAAATACTTTATCACGATCACCGTCATCAAAGATTTTGTCTGAAACTGATGAAGAACCAAACAATGACCAAGATACACCTAGAAATTTCCATTCACCTGTAAATATAACTGATTCTTTAATGGCTCTTGCAGCTGTGGAAACTCCTATTCCACTGAGACCTGCAAGTTTTGCTCACTGGTATGAATCTCTTGCAAAAAAACATTCAAGTGAATAATTATTAAATTTTATTATTGAATTCAAGGGTAAATATGGACAAGAAAATGACCTCATCAAGTTTATCAACGACGAAACCATCGATTGTCATACCGGAAACAGACAGTCAATTATCTAGAACGTCGAAAATTTCAAACTATTATTTGAACGAAAGTCTTAATAGTCTAAATTCTCTTTCTCTCGGAAGCCAATCGAAGACTTTATCAAATCCATCAAAAGTTTTCGAGACAAGAGTATACAGTACCGCTAGTCCTGATATCTTCAACAAGCAACATCGTTATTATCCGAAACGTTCCATTCTAGCACCTCCAAAGCTACATTCGTTAATGCAAAGTTCATGGGTCGAAGATGGCTATTGGCACTCAAGTATCGATATGCCAACTCTTTCTCGATCGTCAAGTCAGAGCTCGGGTTTCGGTTCTTCAGGTTCTAATTATGGACATTCACGCGAACCTTCGATTCATGAATTCGATCAGTGTTCTGTCGCATCAGAGCGATGTTATTTTACGCGACCTGAAAGTCCATTGCCAACACATAACTCGGCTGCCGCGAGACTTAGAAGTAATACTTGTTCGGCAAATTGCTCGCAGATAAGTGACATTGATTCCACTACCAGATCTTGCAATGGTACGAATAACTCGAAATGCAGTGCCCATACTGCTGTCGTTACCAGTCCTATGTTTTCAATTTTGCTGTGCGGATCACTCGTTTTGAATATTGTGGTATTATGTACCATCTTATTGCGATGATTATTTCACATCTTTGTTTTTAAATATCAGTACTTAATAATCAGTTTACTATTTAAAATATTTAATGTTGTTTTCATAAAATAATAAGATTCAATTTTCTCATCAACACAGAGCTATTTGTTCAAGTGTGCATTTTTGTATGTAATCCATTTTAAAAATAATTATTTTGCTATTTTAATTTAATTCTAAGTCTACTATCATAAAATATTTGTGATTTATTAAAATATTACATGCCTGTGATATATTTCAAAAAAACTAGTATGATACGTATCACTGTCAATATACATCATAAAACTTTCTATTTTTATTTTATTTGGTTTAAGGTAACGTGAATTTATTAATAGATATTAATATATAATAAATTAAAGTGGTAATTTTGTATGATTGCTTTGCAATGCAGAGAATTCCTTTACTTTGTGATATCGAAAAAAGCTTTTGCTTATTATAACAATTTCATAGTTGATATATGAAAACAACATAAAATATTTTCACCTATTAATAAACTTAATTATACATGAAAATGTTATTTTACTTGGTTTGAGATATTTTCTATGCAAATGGATTTTGTGTAATGCTACAATTGTAATAGATAAGAAAGGTAATTGAATTAATTAATTAAATATTTACGGACGTAAAGTTGCAGTCTTTCTACGAAATTGTATTTTTTATTATAATACTGGTATTGTTAAATAATAAAAATAAGTTTTTTTAAGTTCCGAATCCATACAATAATGATGCTAAAATATTTTCTGCATCTTTCTAATTGAAAAAAAATGATCTACCTAGAAAAGACGCGTAATTTTGTTGACTAATTATTAAAAAAACTAGCTAAACACTCATTATACGAGCTTCTTCGCTTTAATTACTTTTTGATAAATACTTGTGACAGTTTGCACATAAAATGGAAAGTAGAAAATATTCAAAGCATGAAAATGACATTTCAATAGACTGCTATAACGAAATAAATTTGACTGCAAAATATTTCAATAGTTGCATTGAACTACATATATTGTTATGTATATGAGATTAAATAGAACGAATGCTTTGTGTATAAATTTACAAAACTACCTATATAAGCGACGACTGTTAAATAATGCACCATTGCGGAAACATAATTTCAATTTAGGATGTTTTCGTCTACGATCAATTTAAATTATTTTGTTTTGTGGCTTAATTTAGTTATTTTCAAGGTAAATGATTGTTTTGTTTGAATAAAAGCTATTTATTAACGACTGAAAAAGACTGGCTGAACGACAAAATACATGTACGTAACTGCCAATATGTTCTGATGACTAATTATGATTGAAACTGCTATCACGTGTACTACAATATCTGTAACGACAGTTTATGTACATGTAAATGTAAAATAATTACTTTACTCCGAAAGCCATACATAATAACGTAAATTAGACTTACAGCCTCGAGAACTATTGATCTTTTCAAAGAACTGTAAAAATAAATCGGTTGAACTTTTATGCTCATGTTTTATTTTTTTAAGCTTTATATTCGTTATTGATGCTGCTCAATAATTTGATCTTGTTTACTCAATACTCATTGACATGTAGGCGATATCAAAGAAAAAGCCAAGTACAAACTTCGGCTATTAGTATTTGGTTTTGTACACGCTACAACGTCACTCTAGTAGACGCGTTAGCTTTTGTTTGCATAGTAGTTTTCGGTCAAGCCAACCAACAAAATTTGCAACGTTCTTTACACGACAGAATAGAAAGCAACTGACGATATGGCTGCGATGAATTTTGATTTTGAAGCACTACCCTCTATTCGCTGCACGGGTTGTGCAACAGTACAAAAGTCGTGGAAAAAGCAACGAGTTCAGTTAAATGACACAGTGAAAGATTCTTTAAAGGGTCGCTACGATGCTGGTGTTCTCGTTGGTAATTGGTTCGATCGGCGCGCAGATTATAAACCACCGATTGATAATTGGATTACTAGTTATGATAGCAGCTACATCTGCAAGACCAATTGGAATTTGAACAAGGACAGGCAAGCATCGATCGATAATAAGATTAAAGTGGAGGTGAGGCTCGCATGGTTATATCTCAATAGTTAACAACAGCACTGATATTCGTACATTGGTCTTTAGAGGGGTTTGGGTTCCGAGTTTTTGATAAAATATCGTGGTGATCACTTTCAAAATAACTATACCACGACTAACGATATATTTTTCCGACTCTATGCCACCGATACATGTGGGCCGAGAGCAAGAAAATTCTCTTCAAGGTGAGACCCCTCGCTCGACATTTGTGCCTGTAACTGTATTCGCACATGCATCCGTACAGGAAAAATATTTGGCTACCCGAAGCAAACTTGACCGACGATTTTGGAAATCAAACAAATTTATTCCCACCTGAGGTGACTCAAACCGATGCATGCGGCTGTCCGAAACAAACTGCTTCTCAAAAAAGGTACATTAGATGATCTGTGATTACATCGTCCTTTTGAAAAATCGAAAAATCTTATATAAATTAGTTGAAGAAAATGTATAAACGTACGTTTTTATAGGTTTCCAAAACCCAAAGGAGATATGAATACACCTCAGCTTTGCCATTTGGACATCGATCCCGATCAGCCATTCAGACGTCATCTGGTGAAAACTAAATAAACTGCGATCAACTGGTCGATCAAGTAAGCCTATACAGTCAAACAATTATAACAGAAATAAATAGTTTCGAGAAATAACCGATGCTGGTACAGAAGAATTAATGAGCACTGTGCAGACATTTGTACAATTTGTGATTGATTAAATCGTGAGTTCGTGTGGCGATTATATCTTCAATTACATGTGACAAGTTCAATGGAGCCATCAATCAATTGCATCGCAAAAGTTGTCAACGCAGAATGATAATCAGTTAATTATTTTTTCGGTCATTTCGATCAAGTCTTGATTCTTACATTTTCAACACTGTATTAGCCAATTGCTGATATTTGCAACAAACGTTTTAGAAAAAAAACCCTGAATCAACTATTTTCGTTGACCTTTTACTTTAATGTATATATCTAAAATGTTCTGTAATTTTTCCTACATTGCCTTTGTACGCTAAAGAAAACAGCTTTAATTGCGGTTACAATGTGCTACAAATATATCCATGTGTTATCTATTCATGACTCGAGCGCTATACTTTTAAATATTTTTTGGATGAAACCTTACAAAAATACCTTATAATATAAGCAATAATAAGGAGTTTGCAGCCAAAGGAAACGCAAATTTATCAAAAAAAGGAAAATGCATAGTTATATACATGACTTTATTTCATCTACAATAAAATCGTACGTATTACTACCAGAATGTAATATTATATGTATGCCTTATATATAAATTACTAAAAGATAAAGAAAGAGGATAATCGAACATGATTCGTGGAGCGTCAGATACACATCAAAAACTTTAAATATTTAAATATTTAAATCTTAAATTTAATATTTAATATTTAAATTTTAAATCTCTTTCTCTCTCTCCAAATCTTCGATGACGATACTTTCTGTCTCCTCTCTGCTCATTAATTAAGTCAGCCAAACTTATCGTAACTATTACTGAAAGACCGCAATTCGTGCCAATAGTGCCATCGTGCTTAAATATACCAAGGACAATTTTGTATTGACTCAGTTGTAATTCTGTAAAGTCTACTGTCGACGATAGAAATTAGGAAAGAGATCGATTGATTTAAAGTAAAGGCTAGAAATTTGACCAAAGTACATATTTGAAAATAATTAAAGGAACGTGCAAATCACAAGAGAACACGTTTATATCAATGAAATGTAATTTAATGGTTTCATTAAGTAATACAGTTAATCATTACATTCCATATAGCTATAGCCTTTCCACAGCTTGTATTCACAATATCTAAATAGACTTATCCTGAAGAATTGATAAAATTCATAATCCGGCCTCGTTAATTACGTTTCACACAGAACAGTTTCATCCGAATCCAAATTGTTTTATAGCACTATAACAAGTTAAGTATAACAATTGTTTGCCAATCCTATACGACGCTGATATATTTAATGCCGTATAAGAACGAACAGCCTCGAAGAGACTGTTCTTTCAAATCGCGGTTCCTATCTATGACGTATAACAATGCATGCGTTCGCTAAAAAGGAAACAAAAGGAATGGTAACAAAACACACTGGAAAATGCACGTGCTTGCTGAAGCAATCATTAGATTACACAATTCAAAGCAGACGTGGTAGAATTTAAAAAATAACTACTGGTAAAATTGCAGGGAGAAATGGAGCATCGAAGCTCCTCGTGGAAATACTAGTCCAATGTTATTTATGGCTCGCTGCAATCTTGTGACTTTGTGTGTTGCCACATAGTTTACTTTCGTGCTCCTTGTGCTCGTCGACAAATGCGTAATTTCTATGAGCGGTGCGCATCCCTTTGTGATGCCTCACTTCAAAAGTAACCCAAAGATACATTCATCGCTAGGTGCTGACCAGCTGCCACAATGATTATATATATTATAATTTTTTCACTTGGTCGAACGCAAATCTAGAAAGATCTTGAAAATCGGCTTTCGTTGCTGCTTTCATAGGACGAATGAGAATCAAATTTTGACGTTAATCGAGGTCAGAACAGAGCGCATCACGGAAGCCGAGCGAGTCCTGGTGGTGCCGAAACGCGACCGCAGACACCAGCATACGACGCATCGATAAATACGTCAGCGCTCGTTAAGACGTTTGCCAACGATACAAAGTTTGGCGCTAAGCCTACACGTCTCGTCTCGTATCATCTGCGCTGAATTATCTTACTTCAACCGCCCGTGGATTGGAAATTATTATGTCGATTGTTCAGAGTGAAATCCGACCTTGAAGCTCGATCCCTTCTCCTTCGACATGATTTACTATCCTTTCATTAGCATAGCTGCTCAACTATTCACATTCAAAACGCTCTTGTCGTGAGGACGAATGGGCACGGCTAACCCTTCCGTCTTTAATTTGTTTTATTTGAATTCTATCGAAGATGATGCTTGGGACAGCAATTCAACCCTTCCCCGTTCGCGTCCAATAAGAAAAGCTCTTTTGTCAAGACAAAGCCAAGCTAAAATCTGAACACAGCGTTGATGCTTTATTTGTGTATATAAAAACGATGAGTTGAATGAAAAAGGAAAAGGCACAAATGACTGATGATATCGGTACGATAGAAAAGTCGGAAACTGCAACTGACGACGAGAGGCGAACGAAAGAAAAGTTTGTAATGGTAAAACAAGGTATGATTATGTTTATGCAAAATATTTATTAAGCACATTGCAGTGTTACAATACCAGATAAAAATAAATAGTTTGAAATCGAGCTTGTTTCCTCATGTTTTCATTTCACGGACGGGGCTACAGCGCGCGCCATACACCTATAGACCCTTCAATTTTTCATTTGTCATTTTTATTTCTCTCGCACGATGACATCGGTCTATAAGAATTCATAGCTTCAAGTACCTGCACTCGAGAAACAGAACAGTATTTGTTGTAACGCACAATAAATTATAAATTAAGGCTAGCCGGCGCAAAAACAAATGCAACACGGCGACAGTCGCAAACTCTTATTCGAAAATGCTGATAGCATGTCGTGAACATAGATTTCCTCAGTTATTTGTGTAAGCATTACCAATTGTTTTACAGAAGACAGAAAATCGTTAGAGTTCTTTTATTATTTTGTTAAGCAAATTACAACTTACTTCAGTTCTCCAGTGTTTTTATATAGTCTTTATCCTCCATGCAAGCATATATAATCGATTTTTACAATCGAATCATTGTATATATTACATGCCAACGACTAATCGCAAGTCTATCAATATGTTTCATTTTTTACATAATATAATATAATGCTTTATTGCATTAAGTATAAAATCGCAAACCTACTGAGAAAACCAATGCTCAGGATCAGCTCCGCGATTCTCGTTTTTTGCGACAAAAATACACACAAAGAAACGAAAAAAGCTACAAGATATGAGACGGGCGCGTGCTCGTAATAAAGCGAATCGACGTCGTTGGTCGACGTCGTTGGAGGCGCACAATCAAACGGATATATCTTACGGAGAGAAGAGAAAGCAAATTTATCGATCGTTCATTTAAGACACGACGTCAGAGGTGCGTCCATATCACGTAATACATATCACACGCGCACACACATTCAGCGGATAGGAACTCTGCGCTCTCGCAAATCAACGACGTCGTGTGCGCTAGTACCCACAAACGAATCCTTGGAGGAAAATTATCACGCACGATTATATGACATACATTGCAATCATTATACGAACTTGTACTTTCCGATAAATCACTTGATTCAAGCTCAGTTTCTCGCCTCGATCGTGAAAAAGGAAATGTAAACGGCGATGGTGGAAAGGTTGACTAAACTTGACCAAATGTCAAGTGAACCCTCCGAACGACAGTACAAGATAAGGAATTTTCTTTTCAGAATCGATTCAACAAAAAGTACAACCACGTAGATGTTCTCTCTCGTGCACTTGTAATACAAAAAACTTAGATTTTTCTTCTCTCAGTGCTAAATTGCGCACATCAACAGACGCAATATCTTCGATCACTTGGCGGTTTCGTCTGAATTTAATCTTCGTTTATAAATTGAGGTAAAAAAACACTGCCTCTTGTGCTTCAGGAGGAAAGATCAACACTTGTTTTACGCTTTAATGTGAGTGCAGATTTCGCACGTAGGGCTTTGCGTTATAAGCAATCGAAGAAGTGTCGGTATCATTGCAGTGAAAAGCTTCTATGCAAATGCACTTTTTTTCTTATAGCTCTGCTACAATACTCTATTTAATATAATTAAATACCCCGTTGCATTTTCGGCATAATCAATTTTTCCCTCTCGATATAGAATCCGAGAGTCTCAAACGTACGAAGATCAATTACACAATCCGCTATTTCATTTTGGTGCACATTGAGTGATGTCTATATTATTTTACTTTATTACACAAGGTGTATCCACCTCCCCATTTATATTTTCCTCCTGCTTCACTTTTTTGTTGACACACATTTAATTAAATAATAGTTAAGAATAATAATTTATCAAAAATGAGCTATGTACAAATCGACAGGACATTCGAAATAGCGATACATTCATACTGACCGAGCGCGCGCCGCACACGTAGGCACATCAGCTCGTACTCCCCCCGGTATACATTGCTCGCATTCATTGTCTATGTAGTCTCGCTCAGCAGCTGCAGCAGTGTGGTGTTGCAAGCACGGGATTGGTTGTTTTATTATTTTTCTTATTTTCTGTTTTTTTTCACTTTTTTTTCTTTCTTTAGCTAACATTTTTTACGTGACCGACATAGTGCTCGTTGTGAATGTGTTACCTTAACATAATAATTGCAATTAAAAATAATCAATAATCATAATATATCAATAATGATAATTCATAATAGTACTAATAATCAATAATCAATAGTAGTACTAATAATAGCAATCATCAATAATGACAATTAATATTCATAGCATAATAGATTTGCGTAATGATTTCGCTGCGAACTTTAATCAGACAACTGGAGCATTACAGCAACGTATTGTGGTTTTTCCTTTCCTCCGTTTCATTTATGCGTATGAATTATAAATAAGGTTCGCGTCTGGAACAAATTTTTTATCGTCCATTGCAAAAGCACTATTGCGCTCGTTTTCTGTAAAAGAGTGAAGACAAGTTCGTTTTGGCATTGTCTATGATTCGGCGTTTGTGCCCAGATTATGAGCGCGGATTGTTGTCCACATCTACATCAGTGGGAGGAAATACATGAAAGCAAAGAAAAAGAAAAATATGATACAAATTTAGAAAACAAATCAGTAATTAAGAGTAATGACATTTGCAACGATGTGCATTACGGTCCAATATTAGTGTGTATAACTTATAAGCATTGGAAATTGTTGAGGATTAGAAACGTACAGTGAAGCTCTACTGATCGGAACTGTACGCCTTAGTCACCTCGATTACTGACAGTCCTGATGGAATTGATACCACCGACATAAGTATGGTGTTGACCAGCCCGGATGGGCTTGGCAATTTGGGCGCTAGGTCCACGACGTGCCAAGTTCTTCTGTCGCACGGCCTCCTTGATCCGGTCGACCTCGTATTGATAGCGCTTGCGATCGCGCATTGCACCTTCCTTGGCATCACGTAGTGCCGTCTCTAATGCCTTTACACGCTCCATCGTTGCGCGCAACCTCTTCTCTAGTTTAGGTAGCTCACAACGCAGATCTGCGTTATCTCGCACCAGTTGTTTATGAACCTGCATAGAATCATATAAAAGTTAAAAATGCTTTCAGTTGGTCAAAGATACCTTAAATCATGAAAATGAATAAATGACCTTAGTTAGTTGGTCGAGATTGTTTTCCAAGAAGGATATCTTTTGTCGCTGTGCAAGCGAACCTCCGTCGTCTTCATTGTCTTCGGTAATAATTGATTTCTTAATTCTAGCCTGGAGATCTTGAACGAATAGTTTGCGCAAGTTGTGCAGAGTTTGAAGCTCTTTTGAAACTGTGTCTTCAAGGCCTTTCAGGTCTTTTCTCGCCTGAAATAAGATATATTCGCATTAAAATATAAAACCACATTTTATCCAAATCGTTTGATAGAATAAAATGGATTAAAGTCATTGAATAATACCTGTTCACGTCGCTCATTCAATTGCATAAGTTCTTGCAATTTGACAGACTTGTCAGCCTCCTCTTGCTTCAATCGCTCATAATCCGCTTGCATTTGTTGATGAGCCAGAGTGAATTTCTGATTCATGTCCTTCAATTCACTAATCATCTCCTGTTTCTCAGAAATTTCATCTCGTAAGGTTGCCACCTAGAAACATTTAATAATAATTATAATTTCCACAATTTACTAACCAATAAAAAAAATAGAAAAATGTATAAAAATAACCTGTTTTTGATGAACAACTCTGAGCTGATCCATCTGTTCTTCAAGAGCAAGTCGCATCTTAGTTGCAGCCTCTTTCTCTTCGGCCTTCTCCTTATTGCTGACCGCCTGGACCTGCTCAGCGGCCTTCAATTTAGCACACTCCTCGCGCATCGCATCCACATCTTCCTCTAAGGCACGTTTGCGGGCCTCCGTCTCTTTCATCATCTCCTGCAGAGACTGCATGCGAGCCTCGTGCTGCGAGATCAATAGACGACAGTCGGCAAGCTCCTTCTCGTACTCAGATACCTAAGCATTTAGAATCAATTGTGATAATGGAGAAGAAACTCAAATAAGTTGCGACAACGTTTGAAAAAATAGCACAATAGTCGTACCTTCTTATTGCAATCTGATTGGTTGGATTCCAATCCCTGACATCTCTGTACGAGATTCTTCACTTCAGACTTCATCTTGCTGATGTAAAGTCTAGCCACAGTAAACTCTTCTTCGAGTTTTCCATTGCTGTCGGGAAGTACTTTCAGGCTCTCGTCGCCGCCAATGGCAACGCCAATCTCACCTAGATCTTTCAAGAGATTTGTCAACATCTCTGCGATACGTTTGCGCTGATGAGCAGACATATCACGCAACTGTTGCAGCTCTGCAGCCGTTGTATTCAGAGTAGCTTGTTTAGCTAACAACTCCTCAGTCAATTGCTCGTGCTCCTTGTTCTTGGCCTCGACCTACGTAATTTCAAAATAACATTAATACTTCGATTATTTCAACTATAAAAATATGATGAAAATGACGAAAAAAACAACGTCGTTAGTAGCTTTAGAGTTTTGTAAAATTTGACCGGGTGGATTTTTCATGTTTGCTTGTAAAACCGTCCTGTAACTATTACTAAATATACTGAGTAGAAAGTATGGAGAATCATCGTTACCTCTTGTGATTTTTGATCATAGTTGACAGCAAGCTCTTCAAGAGCTTGCAGCACCTCCTTCACTTCTTCTTTAGCGCTTTCATTCTCCTGCTGGATCCTGTTCATCTCCTGTTGCAGTTGTTCATAGTCGCGTCTCGCACTTGCAATAAGCTCTTCCTGCTCTTCCATCTGCTCCTTTAGTTTTTCAACAAACTGTGACTGTTGGTTGATCTCCTCGTCTTTGTCGTCGAGCTGTTGGTACAGACGTTCGCGTTCTTCCTCCAGCTTCTGACGTTCTTCGTTCGAGAGTGAACCAGCCATGAGACCACCACCTGGAGTTGCAGGCAATGGTCCGTCGTCCACTCGAATTGGAACTGTAATGTTCGAATAAAAATTTTTAAAATAAAAACGAATAAATAGGAAAAATATCGTAGTTGCAAAAATTGTATGTACTTTCGGCGACAGGTGCAACCGGCGTGGTAACATCCAAATTTTCGTGCAAATTGACCTGTTCCTCCGGTTTAACAGTCTCGCCTGATCGCCAACGTGACAATTCAGCTTCGAGCTTTTCGACTTTGCCTCGAAGCCTAGCAGCTTTGTCTTTTTCGCGTTCGTATCTTCGTTTCCATTCTTCAGCTGTCAGCTCTTCGTTCACCGTAACGACATTCTTGATTGTCTTAGCTCGTTTACCTGTAAAGGAAACAGTTATTTTAATATTTTATACAAAAATGTTGACAATTAACGATCGCGTAGTGAACGCTTACCGAAATCTAAGGTCGATTTAGTCTCAGACTCATTGAAACTAGCTGGCGAGCAGCAAATAATGATTGTTGTTCTCGCGTTACCACCCAACGACTCTTGCAAAATACGTGTGAGCTTGGAGTCTCTGTAGGGTATGTGTGTCTTGTTTCCGTCAGCCAAAGCCGAGATAACATTCCCAAGGGCCGATAACGATTTATTTATGTTCTTAGCTTCATCAAGCACCGTTCCTTCAGCTCCAGTCTTGGAAACTTTTTCTGAACCAGCCAAATCGACCAAGTACAGTTTGCCTGAGAGCTTCTTCTGATTTTCCAAATTTTCCTGCTTAACGTTGATTAGGAAGACTGAATGTGACCGCGAGCTGTGCTCATTCATGTTCGTCACGGCTATGTGACGATTCGATTTGCCTTCTTCGATCACTTCAAATACTTCCTCGGGACTGGATACGAAACGCTCCGTTGCACCTTTTACGAAAGGCACGCGATTTTTGTCTTCGTGTACGCTCAGATTAACCTTCGACACTGTAAATAGAAAAAAGAATAACCATCAGATCAGAAATGACTGTGATTCTCTTTTTGTTTAGTAAAAATTTACCATCGAGTAAATCTCGAATTTTGTCCATGTAAATTTCAAAATATGATACTTTGATGTGGAATTCCAAATTCTCCTCCATTCCATAGATATGGTTGAAAATATCATTGACAATTCGAGGGATGATACCTTGTTTATTTGGATCACCAATAACTCCTTCCATTGTATGGGTTTTACCTGCACAAATGTTAATTATTAATTAGATTGATCAATATTCGAATTTAATTACAGTTTAATCGGCAGAATACATGTTATAAATTAAACAATGCTAGAAAGTAGTTACTCTAGAATTAGTAAACTTAAAAATGAAACAATCACAAATTAATGTCAGTATCGTTAGGATGTTGGAAAAAATTTTTTGCAGTAAGAAATTTTAATAAACTGAAAGTATTTTATTGAGAAAAAATATGTTGAGTTTAATGTAAAGAATCCAATAAATGTCTAATAATAACAACAGTATAATTAACGAAGTTAATAAATACAGTTATTATTTATATACAGTTAATTGATTCATTCGTTCTGAAGATTTTGTTGTGAAAATTGCAAAATTACCTGACGAAGTTTGTCCATAGGCGAATATTGTTCCATTATAACCAGCGAGGACGTCAGTAACAATAGATTTCGCTGCTTCATTATAGACTTTATCTTGCGTCGCATTTGGTTTGAATACTTTGTCGAAAAGATATACTTTTCCCTGCAACAATCATATTAATTTTTCAGTGTCTACGGTAAAAAAATGAATGAAAAAGGTGTAAGACATTCAAACTTACACCAATAGAAATACAGTTTTCATCGCCGCCAGATGGAAATTTGACGACAAATTTGGATCCAGCCTTTTCCTCGGAGTCGTTTAACGGTCGAAACCGACAGACGACTTTGATACTGTCCTCAGCAGCGATTTCTCGCTCGCGTGGAACGTCCGCAGCCATGTTTTAATCTGAAATAATCAGCGCAAACATTAAGATCATTGCTTCAAAATTTCAAGCGACTGGTGAGAAAGCGCAATAAAAATTTTCAATATCAATCGAATATAATTTATTATCTCGAACAGATTATTTATGATGGATCGTTTGAACAGCGAAGATTGAATATGATACAAAAATTATTCAGTACTAACTCTTTTAAATAATTTGTATACGAAGTTACCGTTTTTCTGAATTTACTTTTGTGACAATTCATAAAAAGCTGAGATAAAAATTGTAAATTTTCAAGCGCACTTTCTAACAATTAGTGTCATTCATCAAAGGTCACACTTTCAAGATTAGACCGCTTGAGGGTGATAAAAAAAAGCATTCAGATCAGTCGACAATGTCTCGTTTGACACCCTAAAAATATCACCAACTCTGTGTCAAAAGTGATTTAGTGGTGGAGCAGGAAGCATTTCTGCTAAGTCAACAACAAAAACAAACTACCAACAAAAAATGGTTATCGACAACTCAGTCAAAAGTTAAGAAATAATGTTCTTTGAAATTCGATCGCATAAATTGAAGATGTGGCAGTTCTCTTTCATTACAATTCTTCAAAATAAAACAATTAAACTGAATCAGCTGCGATAACGAGTGATACAATTAATCACGAAAATAGTAGAGGCACATTGGCCTGTTTATCAAGTAAAACCAATTTTTCCAATTACTATGCTATACCACTTTGTATTAATTACATAATTAAAATATGGAAGTCCGAGAATTAGTATCCATTCCATAGCATAAGTATCCACGATACGAATATAATTTACTTATGATCCCACACAGTCCGTATCGTAAAAACCACGTAAACAGATGAAAATTCCATTTTTAGAACGTAACCTGTACGAAATAAATAATCGACGTTTTCGAAGCACAACACGCACATGTTCAACAAAAAACTTCACCCTCTACAAAATCTCTCTTATTGACAAGAATCAACACGATCCGCACAGAATTCTAGGAAATTCGTCAATGACACATGCCAAAACACTCATGCCATCCTGCCCAGCAGAGCACTTTAATTAACTATGTATATTGTTATGAGTCACACGTCTACTGTAGCTATACATACATACACTTACAATAAGAGAGAGAGAGAGAGAGAGCGAGAGAGGGTGAGTAAAGAGAGAAATGGGCAGATATAGCACACCGCCAGGCGTACTAAACTCGCGTGCTGTGTTCTCTCACCAAATGTGATAGTCGCGCAAATACTGCACAAACATATTTCACGGACAATCGTGCAAAAAGATGTGTTAACCCTCGTCGGAGGAGTTACCCTAAAAATATCCCCTTGAAAATTCATATCATACTGAGAACCAGAGTAAGCAGCTCGCGACTGCAGAATAGAAAACGAGCACACGCACACTATGGCAACTTGCGTAGCGGTGCGGCGGCGGTTACCCGTTGCTTCGAAATATACCAGCGTGACAACAGACATTGGCACTCGAGCGAAACACACCTCATCGACTGTATTCATCTACTCGTCACTAGGTTTACGAAAGAAATCTATGAAGAATGAAACTAAATTGACATCCCAGAAAAAGTCGTTATTCCTTTTGCAACGTAGCGACAGAAGCACGGGATATAACGATATATCTGGCAGCATTGTTCAGGAGTAGTAAGTAAATTACCTTCGATAAAAGTGGGCCTGCCAACCCAGTGTGCGTAGAAAGGATAGCTTAAGTAAAGTTGACAGTGAGAGAAAGGAAGAAGACAGCTAATTGAGCAGCAGCATGAAGGCCTCGGCTGTCGTTCTGTCCTGCCGCGCCAACCCGACGACGACGACGACAACGACGACTTAACGCGTACAGTTTCACTCACTCGTCAGCATGCACACATGCATATAAACACGCACTCACCAACTACTATGCAAGATGGCCGACTAGTACAGCCAGGCACACGTAGCAAATATACAGCACAAGCGCAGTCAGCAGCGGACGGCCAGACTGACGACCGAAACGATGCGCGAAGCTCATGCGCCGCCGCCACCACGCACCTTGTGGAGGGAGTTGCCGCCGCCGACGCCGCAGCCGCACAAGGAGGATAGAAACTCATGCCTTTCCAAGCTGAGATTTTTTTCCTTCCGACTTTCTCTTTCTCTCTCCTCGTCTCTTGGTTTGGTATATCTATTCACTCATTATTACCACCCACTTCCTCTCTTTCTGTTTTTGCTTCCTCGGTGCCCTATCATTTAGTACGCCCTTCAAAAAGCACTTGCCCTCCGGTTCATGAATTAGTTTCCGATTTTTTTAATATTGTTTACGCTCGATTCAATTTTCAACGCTGCTCGTAATTTACAGAGAGGGTTGCACGCTCTATTGCGTTCTTCGCGGCGTGAGCGAGAATTCCTAGCTCTAAAATTTTTCATTCATTGACTCTCGGGCGTAGTGCTCTGATTTTTTCAACTTTTTTCACGGCCCAGCTTGATTATAATCGTAGTGGGTATTTACACATTTTTTAAGTCGTCTTGTGCATTTTATAGAGACGAGGAGTTTAGTTATGCCCCATGTTATGTCCTGACCAAAAATAAACATTTTTTTATTATTTATTGCATAAGTTTTCATGAATAGTTACAAATAAAAGAATTATATATTAAGTTTAAGGTTTATTGCAAAATTCAAATCCTAAGGATCCTTTTAAGCGTTTATTATTCAATCATTGTCTGTTTTATTATTAGTTGTTTACTGTGACATAAGAGCGTAATAGTCAGAATACGTGCACTCTCTTATTATATGAAAAAATCTTTAATGACCGTCGCAATGCGATTTGTGAATTGACAAATTTGTAATTTGTAATTACTTTGCCTTGATAAAGATGATTAATTATATCATCAAAACATTGACAATATTTGAATAATAAATGCTTGGAAGGATCCTTAAGTTTGAATTTTTCAATAATCCTTAAATTTGATATATTATTAGCAGCAAGTATCTCAAAGTGGAAAAAACTCATTTAAAAATAAAAAATTACTCTTTTAAAATGAATCTTTCAATATTATCAAACATAAAAAAAACCTTCCGCGTGTCTGCAACTTTTCAGAATGAAAAATACCAAATGCTTGAAATTGTGTAATTAAGTGTACTTTATCTCAACATCACATGACAACAAACATCTTGTAAAATTACATAAATAATTGTCTATCACATATAAAAAAAATGAAAATAACTGAAAATTAAGCGTAACTTGCGCCACTCACAGCATAGGTATTACAATTCATTTAACAGCTCAATCAATTACTCAACTAGTTTCAATTTTCGTCATATATACACACATATCGATGTATATATTCATCAAGTCATCGCTGAAACAAATAAATTCTCAATATTGGCACACTGCGCATTGTGCAGTGTGCAATAAGTATAGGTCGGAGTTATCCGGAGTAAGGTTCGCCTCAGATTGCCGTTGGTTGTAGCGCTTGAGTCAGAGGTTGGTAACGATCAGAGATGGGCGAGAATTTTCTCCGACGCAATCTTAACAATAAGGTACACGGGCAGAAATTTGACTTTCTGACAGAGGAGCCCCATATAAATTATTAAGAAGTGACCCAAAATGTTTTCTATTGCTTGATATTGTTTGAGAGAGTTTTTCTTTCGCAACAATAAGCAATTGATGCGGTTACTTAGAAAATGGACGTTACAAATTTTATCGCTTTAGAATAATATATTTGACGAAGGCTTTCCTCATGGGCAACTCTAACTTAGTTGTATATCTGCACCGTAAGTAGAGCCTAACAATCGCCCGATTTCTCATTTTCCATCTTGTTATATAGCTACAATAAAATCAGGCCCGTCTCTGAATCGGTTTGCTAACAGGTGAACAAATGTATAGGCTGCAAACGACACAATATATATTGAAAGTATCGTAGCATTTCAAATTGTAAGCCGTTACTCGTCCGTAAAGGCCTGATTTACGATCCGCGTCTAATATTGTTGCAGAATCTTATATTTCTACAACTTAATAGAATCTGATGTACTGTTACTAAGGTTAATATGGATCTTTTAAACAAAACAGGTATCTTCTAGCAACATCTTCGCGTTCGCGTTCGCGCAACTTATATTGTTTCAAATGGAACAAATTGTCAGTTGGTGCAAGAAAATTATTGCACTGCCAAGTTTGTTCTCCCAAGTTGATTGCTACACAAGACGAAAGAAAAGCACGAAGAGATCGAGTTGGACGACGATCCCGCGGAAGAATAAGAACAGACGGATTGGCCGCGAGCTTGGCCTGGTGCAGTTACACAAAATGCACATCGGATGAAGTGCACCCATGAGGGCTTTGCGAGGCAAGAAAACGAGATTTGGTTAGTGCGCGTACAGCGATGCAGCGGTGCGCGACCGAGCAACGCCCTTATCACTCCGACATGCCCCGGCTCTTCCTTCTCGCCATGCTACTTCCGCGCGAGAGTGCTCGGCTGCACATCACTTGTACACCGTTGTACGTTCATTCAGCTTCAGCTCCGCCATGCTCGCAGTTCGATAATATAGCTCATCAGACCATATTTTCGCTCGATCGATGTCCAACGTTTGAGCGCCAATGAGTTTGGAAGGACTCTGTGCCAGTAGTCACGTGTAGCAATAGGGAAAAGTCGAAATTGGTTACTCGCATACCTGCGCGGACTTGGACTTGGAAATTCTCATAAGCTATCGCTCAACGTGAAATTCTCGCGATCCCATTACATGGCCAATGCTGCCCGGATCCCCTTCTTCAACCGGGTGAGCCCCTCCTCCAGCTGTACGGCACACTCTTCGCTTTCTTCATTCGACTCTCTCTCTCTCTCTCTCTCTCAGTCGTCGACATACAAGCCACAAGCGTACAAGCTTGGCTGGCAGGATTTCACTGCAGATACCGTCCATCTGAATGATAACAATATACGATAATCGTTGAACTCGAATCGAACGTGTCACCGTCTCGGGAACAATGCTTAAAGTGACTTTGGTACGCTATTTGCGGTGCTTAGCCATCATGGCATGGCTCATACTCTTGACAAAAGTCAACCTCGCATCGAGCACGTTTGCGCAACCACGAGCACCCAATTTCCAATATTTTGAGAGGTGAGAACCAAGATTTCGTTGGCTATTATTCCTCGCAATATTAGCAGTGAACAAAGCATTACATCCGTAATTTGCGCTTTCAGGCCGCAATACCGTTATCCATATTACGATGAAAATGGAAAAGGCCGCTTGCTCTATGGATATGGTGGACCACAACTCTACCAATATAAAACCTACAGCGCTCTAGAAGGCATACATTGACAAATTTTTAATCCTTAATCAATTGTTTCACCTATGTCATTATGTATATAATCAATAACAAGAATGCTGATAGATAAAGCACGTAGGAATCTGTAAAAATAAAGTCTTACATAAATCTTACTGACGTGTCGAATTTTTTATTTTTCCAAAGTTTGAATTCACGTGATCTACGTGTCTTCATTTAACGTTAATTATGAGCAAAAATCATTGACACATTTAAGGACCTAGACAGAGTGACATTTTACAATCATAACTCTTTATTTGTGGATGTCAATTAGAGATACTTAAATTTCCTGTGTTGCAATTACCTGTGTCACCTTTATTGTCGGACTTATTTCATCTGTGACTTTCGTGACTTTCAAACAAAGATGACTTAGTTCGTGGAATGTTTGTTCTCAAGGCACTCATACCAAGGATCCTAGACCACACGGAACATGTTTAGCGAGAATCGTAATTGTGACCTTAATGCGTGTTCACTTTCATTGAAAATTTAAGTGAATTGAGATTGCTGACAGATAGAACTTTGTCTACAAAACGAAATTTGTAAACTCATTTTATTCCACTCCCGCGAAGAAAAAAAAACTTAAAATTCTTTACTTGACAACCTTCTTTTCGAACCACACTTAGTCAGTAACAAGCGAAGCTTTCGTAACTGCTTTAAAAACTCTAAAATTAGCCTTTTTTTCACAGTAGAATATGTGCCTTAAAGACGAAGCTACGCGTGGATGATTTTACCGTCATCATAAAAACTGACTTGTAACTTTTTTTTATTTATAAGAATATAATTTATATGCTAATAACACAGTAATAGCGAATTTTATAGTTTATGCGATGTGCCACGGACCATCCAAAGATGATCAGAATGACAAGAAATAACAAAATTGGATGATAAAAAGTTAACTTAGTTATTCAACTTAAAGTTATTTGACTTAAAACAAGCCATTATAAGAATTTTTAAATTTGACAATAGTGTGCAAGTGTTGATACCAAGTATTCTCGATATTTTTGTGAATACATAAGTAAGATAATCGACTAATCATTGAACTATAGTACAAATTTGTTTATTATTGCTTTACGTATAAAATTTTCAATATACTCAATGTATACTTGCACTTTTGATCTTGTGTTAATGCATTTACAAATCATAATAATTAAACAAATTATCTGTTCATAGTTATTTGAATGAGAATTTTTATCACAATATTTGTTCTAAATTTAATATATTAAATTATCAAGATTGAATGGGTTTCGAACTTCGATTGCATACACAGCAATATGGCGCTGTTTTCACCAGTCACGCGCAATATAACCCGCGACGATGCACGTGTGAGTTCGAAAATATACTAAAAGTAGACAGCTGCTTACACGACTCCGGTTTTTCGTTGAAGCACATATTCCATAGTGAAAAAACCATGGAAAAACGCGTAGAACCTGTGATAAATGACAGCACCGAGTCCGAATTAATGGGAGTCATCGCAGCTGTATTTGCGGTGATCATAACCATAGGTAAGTAAAACATCATGTTCGTCAGTAAAAATTCATTTATTCTAATCATGTTGTAGGTTAAATACTACTTACTTATGATACTATTATTTCATAAAATAATTGACACAACATTGAAACCATACTTGTTGATAGTATCTTCATAAAATTTACAGATCATACAAAAGATTAAGTATGCTTAAAAAATTCAAAAGTATCAGAACTAAAGCAATAACTATGACAATAATAACATTGTAATTAAATACATAATAACAAAAAAGATACATTTCCCATTAAAATTATCTCAAATATAATTCAACTTGTACTTTACAATCAGTAGTTGGTATAATTTTATTATTCTACTTTGGTTTCCCCTTTTTATTTTATTTAAAATTATTGTGCTTTGGATATGGACAGTATCATGTTTGTAGACAATGCTTTGTTCGTCTTCTAGTTATCTTTGCTTTATGGAGACGTAGAGTATCTGTTGGTCATAATGTTCTTCTTACGGGCCTTTGCGATGCTGGTAAAACACTCATCTACGCCCGACTGATGCACACCAAATATGTGCAAACTCATACTTCTGTAAAAGAAAACATTGGCGAAGCTCCAGAATACAACGTAAGTTTTGATTTGAAGAATTTTATTCATTAAACATATGTGCTTTAATTATAATTAGATTTTCAAAAACTGTTGAATATATTAAATAAAAATTGTTGTTTTTATTATAGCGTCTAACAAAAATATTATAATTTTTAATTTCTAGAGTTCTGTCAAAGTGGTTGATATTCCTGGACATGAACGACTGAGATACAAGTATTTCGATAAATATAAGAATTCAGCAAAGGGTTTAGTGTATATTATTGATTCTGCCAATATTCAGAAAGACATAAGAGATGTTGCAGAGTAAGTTATCGCCTTTTATAAATTGAAAAAAATTACCTTTCTTTTACTAAAAAATAAGATTTTTTCATAGGTTCCTATATAACTTGCTGTCAGATTCTGGAATGAATAAAAACATTCCTGTTCTAATTCTTTGCAATAAGCAAGATCAAACTTTAGCTAAAAGTAGTACAGTAATAAAGATTCTTCTTGAAAAAGAAATGAATCTTTTGAGAATGACTAAGACTAGTCAGTTAGAAGCAACGGATGCATCCTCATCAAATACTTATTTAGGAAAAGCTGGAAAAGACTTTGCCTTTTCACAACTCGACCGAAAACTTGACTTTGCAGAATGTAGTGCTTTTATCAAAGATGCTGATACACCAGCTGACATAGAACCATTAACCTCGTGGCTGACAAAGTTGGTTTAGCGTTCTGTCTGTGATCAATTGTAATTTATTTTTGAGAGAATGGTTTTTTATTATTTGTTTGATAAAAAAAAGTGATTCATTTTGTATTAATGAGTTTAAGAATGGTGTTGCATAAGTCAATATGATTAGATTTTTATAAAATCATGAAAATATATCACATTAATTAGCTCATCAAATTATAGATCAACTAATTTGAGCAAAGAAAAGTGTCATTTTTATTCATCTTCCTCCCATCTATATCAATTTTAGAACATAACCCAATTGCTAGATAATATTAAAACTTCCAGAGTAACTTAATTATTTAAATTTGTGCTTAATTATTTTGACAATTAAACCAATAAACATGACGTGCTTATACATTCCACAAGTGAATTTTTTTTTTCAGCTAAGCTCAAATCAATTTTGTTTACCTTTGTTTAGTAGCGTTTATATGCGTTGAATAGAAGTGATTTTTATATATTACACATTTTCGTTACGATACAAGTGGCATTTTTTTCATACAATAGATCATCTATGATGTGCTTGTGTACGAGAAGCTCGTTAACTTTGATATTTGATCACACAACATGAGTAGAGCATGACCTAAACATCACCGACAATCGACATTGTCCTCGTGAGCCGCAACGATATGCGCGTGTGCGAGAATGGAGAACAGTTGAAAATCTATATCTGGACCATTCTATCGATATTATTTTAAATTCGTTTAAGTGTTATTTCACGAAATATTATTTTTTTTATTTAGAAATTTATATTTTTTTTCTATTGAAATTTTAATCTGGACGTTCCTTTAATCACTTTAAAATTTAATATATAAATATTCTATATTGCAATATTGTGGAGATTATAAATTAGACAATTTCCAATACGGCTACTACCGCATCATAGTAGAATTCATACTTATTCAAGAGCAAAGGATAAAAGCGTAAACACGATACTTTAAAAATAAGGAAAACAATAAGCGAGCATAATAAAGAACTATACATGAAGTTATATAGCATATGAATAATTTCAAATATGGCACCAATCATATACTGAGCTACATAGAAAAATATAAAAAATAATTCTCATTTATTGATTTTCGTTAGAAATGAATAAAATGAATGAACAACCAAAATTAAGTTTTAAACGTTTAAACTGCGAGATATATATTTTAATAATATTTAAACAAATTAATCTTTTAAAGTTATTAATCGTTATATCTATTTTAAACATCATGCTCTCTTCAGCCACTATAGCTAGAAAGCTTTGAATCTAATGGATTTCAATTTCATAAAACATATGGAAGTCATAAAACTGAAGCATTGGATGAAAATGCTAATGTTGTTCTAGCATTTTTATGGTATTTCCTTTGCTACATGGTATTGGATTGAATTATATTTTACTGTTAGTTTATCATATAGTGTGGTACACTTCCAAACCAATTAAAAATGTACATCTAAATAAAAGGAACAATAGAAAAAATACTGTTTGAAGATTCAAATAGCTATTTTGAATAAACAAAGTACCATAATTCTAAAAAGATAATTTCTTATTGAAAAAGAAAAGGATTTGTAGCAATATCCTGATAGTTCCAAGACTAGCTTAGTAGTAAGAAACTTTTTTGAATTTCTTAGAATTTAGTTGATTGTAGTTTGCAAACATTTGGATAATCTGAATTTTTTTTTAAATAAATAGCAGAGGATCTAAGATTGTTCTAAATACTTTTGAATTTTGGCAAGAACATAGTGTTAGGTTACATTATAGAATTCAATTTAGAAAGCTAAAAGCAGGCAAAAGATCAAATAATTGTTTCGATTCATGAAGAAAAGAACAGCTGACTTTATGAAAAATTTTCAGCTTAAATATTATAAAACTGCATTTATTAATTAAAAAAATACCTTAAAGTAAAAATATTTGTTTTTACTACAATGATTTGTCATATGATCTATCAACATCCAATATAATCTCAACTATTTCTTTATAGTTTCCTTTCCAATTTCAGTATTTCTCTTTGTAAACCTGAAAAGAAATATTATACAATTATATTTTCAATGTAATTTATTAACTGGCACATATTCAAAAGATAATATACCTTCACTACTTTTCCATACAATTTTGATATCAAAAAAGCCCTCTCTGAGAACAAGTTCCTCAAATTGTCTCATGCCTCCTCCAATTCCAAAGTAATATGTTTTTCCAGCAACAAAACTATAAAAAGATCAAAAAAGTTATTAAAGAGTCTTTGGAGTGTGAAAAATTTATGTATTAAGATTAACTTTATATTTACCCAATTCCATTTGTTTTTAACTTTTCTTTGAAAACTTTGTACAATTTAAGATAATTTTTAGGATTGTAAATAGTCTCACTGGTAAAAATAAAATCATATTTTTGTTTCTCATCATTACTAGTTTCAATGTCAGTGAAAGACTGCCAGTCACCACAATAAAATTCACATTTTTTTTTTATAAAATCATCATTCTTGCAATTTAGTATTACATTTGGAATTGTAACTGATTCAATGACTTCAGCATTCTGTAATATCAGAATATTCACTATGAACATTTTTTTGCACAAAAGGAAATTTATATATAAAAAAAAGAAATAAATTAAATGCTTACATAATCTTGAAAATGAATTGTTGCTCCTCGTAAAAGTGCTATCAAACCAATTATTCCAGCTCCACACCCTAGATCTAAAACTCTTGTATCTTCAAAGCAAAAATTTTCTAATATTATGAAGTTTGCTAAATCATAAGTACACTCCCAAATTTTTAAGCCACCTAAAGCATAGTGTGAATTATATAAAACTTGTTACTCATCACGAATACCAAATATTGAGTGATTTACCTTCATATTTAGCAGGAAGTAGATCAGAATGTTGAGATTCTGCTTCAATGATGTTTTCATATTTTTCTTCTTTCAGTTTTATAATAACTTTTTCAGAATCAACAAGTTTCAGTTCAAAGCTAGGAACTTTATAATTATATGTAAACTCTATTTTGTTACTGTTCTTTTGAAAAAAATTTGATGGTATAGCAATTTTTCTAGCTGGCAGCCAATTTAATTGATTTTCGTCACATTTCTTATTTTCCTCTTCACCTGTCAAATATTTTAATATTTTTACGATTATTTTAGATAAATATTGAAAAGAATTTTGATTTAAATAATGTAACAATCTATTTTGTTTTCTTATATATTCTTGATCTTTATCATCAATTATAACCTTAAAATATCTAGAAAAAAAAACATTAAAATATCAAAAGTTAAACTAACTTTCAATAGAATTCCTTTTATCGAAATTAAACATAAACATTATTCAAAGTAGTATATTATACTTTTTATTTGACGATCTAAATAAATTCAGATTTGTTTGACACATGAATTTTATTTTGAACAAGAAATTATAACGTGCTCCATCAAACCCGTGTTTTTACAGTTTTTACGACAGGCAGAGCTCCATGTTAGCAATTAGAGTCCTTTCAATTTTCAAATAAATATTTGTTAAGATATTTCAATCAATCATGAAAACCGTTCAATAAAACACCTAATATTATTAACCTAAGTTTAGCGCCACTGTACGTCAACAGTGGCATATAGCGTTTTCACTGCTGGCCATTGCATTATATCCAATTGACGAATGCAGCTTTTACGACATTGCCGGGTTGATAACTTTTCACATATCTTTCGCTATATGTAATGGCAGTAGGCATTCGTCAGTCATTACGCTCAAACAATAACGTGATCAGTTTCTCTCTTATCAGGCAGCTGACAACTTGTTGTAAAATGGCCAATGTTAATGACGACACTAAATCTTCATCGCATGTTTACAATGTCAATATTGGGGGTAATGAAGAATTTCATCATGACTTTATTAATATTGTACTATGAATGTAAAGTTGTTAAATTCCATATTTTCACGTACATTTACTCACTCAGTAACATGGCATATGTTTTGTAATATTTGTCGCTATTAATATTGTATATCTCTGGATACTCAATTATGATAATAACATAAATCCAATCAGAATCAAATAACGTTAGTTTATCAGATTTTTTTATTTATTTTAGCAGTGTGTACAAATAATTTCTTTTTAGGTATGCGAATTAAATATAAAGAAAAAAGTGAATGCTTTACTGAAGAATCATTAATTAGTAAGGAGCCATTCGGACAGTTTAAAGCTTGGTTTGATATTGCATGCAAAACACCTGGAATCGGAGAAGCTAATGCAATGTTTTTGGCTACAGCCACTAAGTAAAATACTTTGAAATATATCAAGTTTTTAAAAATCAAAAGATCTTTTAGTTATTCATTTTATATACTTTAGGGATGGTATGCCATCTGTTCGACCAGTATTATTGAAAAGTTTTGGTACAGGTGGGTTCAAATTTTATACAAATTATGGAAGTCGTAAAGCTCAAGAACTAGATGGAAATCCTAATGCAGCCTTAGCATTCTTTTGGGAACCTCTTCGACGCGTGGTACATTATTAAAAAATTACAATTTACGATAAAGCATTGACTATATTCTACTTTTAATTCAGTTAATTATATAGGTTCGAATTGAAGGAACAGTTGAAAAAACATCAGCTATAGATTCAGATGAATATTTCAATAGTAGACCATATTATAGTCAAGTTGGTTCCATTTCAAGTAGACAAAGTACTGTAATTCCAAATAGAGAGTTCCTCATAGAAAAAGAAAAGAAAATACAACAAGAACATCCTGATATAGTTGAAAGGCCAAAATGGTGGTAAGATAAATGTTATAATAGTAAAAATTTTTTAAGTATAATTATAACTGTAATTATCAATAATTTATTTTTCTAACAGGGGAGGATATAATGTAACTCCAAAAATTATTGAATTTTGGCAAGGACAAAGTGACAGACTTCATGATAGAATTAGATTCAGAAGGCTCAAACCGGGTGAAATACCAGATAATCATTTAGTTCACGAAGGAGAGAATGGTTGGGTTTATGAGAGACTTTCTCCTTAAATGTTATAGAACTGTTATCACTATTCAAATGAAATAGCTTAAAGTATATAAATATTTGTGCATTTTTCTACTAAAAAATGGTTACTGTAAAGCACTGTTATTTTGTAACTTTGTTTTTAATTTGGATATTTTATTCTCTCACTGTTGAGTAATATTATGCAATTTATCCATGGGATTTTTTTTTATTAAGATACAGATTTTAAGAGACAGTAATTAACTTTAACTTTACAATCTTTGTTTTATTTTTTGAAAATAATTTTTCAAAACAGTTCTTTATGTTGCTGAGTTTTTTAACTAATTTTTTTGAGTGTAAATACCATCCAAGAGATAAATACAGAATATTAAAATTACGTTTTCAGTATTTACTTATAAATAATCCAACGTATGCATGAAAAAATTTTTATCGAGATATGTATCTGATACATCAGTGATTATTAATTATTAATAAATTAATTATTAATAAATAATAGATTACAACCCAAGGCCGCAAAAGTATTAACAAGTCTTCGCCTCGGTTGTCAAAAATCATGTATTATTATCTTTCCAATAGTTTCCCGGATTAGGTATGTATGTACATACATAAATATATAACGTAATCTATCTATTGCCTCTATGTGATAAGAGTGGTTGGGCAGGGCTATGACGATAAGATCGCGGCTTCCACATAAATATAAACTATTTGTAGTTATAGGGACTTTTCTAAATCGGGCATGTGAGTTTAATTTTATAAATAACGACTTCAGTTCAAAGTACCAATTTTAGGGAGCTCAATGAATACTTTGTAGATAACAAATAATTAACGCAAATTATTTATAATTTATCATCTGTAAATAAAGTTTTTTAAACGTATTCGCGTACATTGTTGTCCTGTAAAAAGTAATCTATAGAAAATTATTAAAAACAAACCAATTATTTTTAATCATGAATCTGTCCTCTTTAAATATCAATCAAATCTATTAATGTAAGACAAAACGAGACTATTAAAAACTATTAAAATTAATAGAATTCCATAACTTCGATCGTTTTTAATAACTTTCACTAAAAAATATCGTAATTTATTTAATCATATTTAAATTAATTTAACAATTTTTTAAGGTGGTTTATTAAAAATGATGAAAAAGAAAGTAATCACTTTTATTGTATTCATTGAGTACAATAATAAACCAATAAAGAAATATAAGGAAATTAGGTAGTAATAGTAATATTAACTTGTGCATTAATTGTCAGTACCGTTATGATATCTAATTTTAAATAAAATATCATTAATCATGATTGAATTTTTAACAATGTTACAAAAGAAGCTTAATAAATTATATGAAATAATAATAATAGACATTTGCAAAGAGTAGAAACAGTTTTTTAAATAAATTTTCTTCTATCTAGTATTTTTTTCTTTAAATCAGGTAAATATAAATACTAGATTAAAAACAAGAAAAATATAATCACAGTAATAACGTTTAAAGAACGAACCGAACATGTAATATAAGGAATAATCATCAGAACAAAAGTTACAATGACGAATGACCGCTAATGATTAAGTAATAATCATCGAGTAATTATTAATAGTTCAATAGATTACATTTATATTTATACTCGTACTCATTATTAGATATAAATAGAAAGTCATCGTAAATATTTTCTTGCTCATTAGTGATCTCAGTATTACGACATCTCTTATCCATATTCAATGTAGAATCCTAATTTAATGGATAAAAGACCGCGAGGTATATGACGATCCTGTACCTCGGTTCTTATGCATTGGGTTATATGGGAAGCGAACAGTACAGAATTACTACTACTGTACAGAACCGTACAATCGTACACTGTACAGTATGACTATATAAATCGAAAGTGCTCATATCTTTAGTTGTACAGTAAAGAAGATGGTAACCGGTCGTGCTTTACACTTTGTCTTCAAAGTCGCTGAGCGTAAGCTCACTGTTAAATTTTATCGTGAGATCCTTGGAATGAAAGTCTGTTTCCTTTAATTATAATTCTTTTTCTATATATTCCTTAAATAATATCTACTAATTAAGAGTTTTTACAGGTTCTCCGACATGAAGAGTTTACCGAAGGCTGTGAGGCAGCTTGTAACGGGTGAGTTTGTGCAAAATGCTACAAATGGTTTTCAATTATTGAATTAAAAGCATGAAATTGCATTGTATAGACCATATGCAAATCGTTGGAGCAAAACAATGATTGGATACGGCCCAGAAGACACTTCTTTTGTTATTGAATTAACCTACAATTACGGAGTGAGTCATTATGAAACTGGAAATGATTTTCAAGGAATAACCATTCGATCAAAAGAAATCATAAAAAGAGCAAAATTTAATGATTGGCCAATCAGAGAAGAAGATGGAAAATATGTTTTGGAAGCACCTGGTGGCTACAAATATTATATCATTGATGAACCACAACCTGTTGATCAAGGTTTGTGACATTAGAGAAATGCTAAATCTAACAGTATTGATATTGCATCAATTGGTGCAACAATGATTTATTTTGTTACATAATTAAAATTTTTCAGATCCTATTCATAAAATTACTTTGTCAAGCTCAAATCTCAAGCGTACCGTTGAATACTGGAAGAATGTCTTAGAAATGACTTTAGTTGAAAAGAAAGATAAAACTGCTATTTTTGAATATGGAAAGAATCAAGCCAAGCTCGAATTTATTGATATTGGTAAACTATTATTGAACAAGAATTCACTATGAATACTATCTCTAGTTTATGTCTTAGCTTACATTTTACTTTGCAGGCACTAAAGTAGACCATGCAAAAGCTTATGGTCGCATTGCATTTGCTGTGCCAAATGCTGAACAAGCGATCATTCGTAAAAAAATCAAAGATACCAACAACAAAATTTTAACAGATTTGATCAGTCTAGATACACCTGGTAAAGCTACAGTAACAGTTATTATTCTTGCCGATCCTGTAAGTGCTGCAAATTAATCTTTACTTTGTTTCTAAATTTAAAATATGATTAATTCACTCTGAACTTTTTATCAGGACGATCATGAAATATGTTTTGTTGATGAAGAAGGTTTCAGAGAACTATCTAAGCCCGATTACCAAAGTGAAGAAATTCTTGAGAGGTTTATAAAGAAGGAAGAAGACAAGACTTTGTAATGTTATCTTTTGAAATTTTATATATTTATTTGTGGCTTGGATAAACTATTGAACAATTTGTTTTTAATTTTTGATTTTGTGATATTTTTATATTTAAGTAAAACTCAATGATACTTTTGAAATCTCGAAATTACACGTTTTTACAAAATGTTCCCTCATAGTATTTTTCATTAACATTTACAATTCTTTGTTTAAAAATAAAATGTTGTTACAGTTGATTAAAAATATTATAAAAAATATGACATTACAATTTAACTTTGAAAGAATAAGTATATATTTGAAAATAAAACGAAACTAAAAAATACATTTTTATTTTAAATATTCCTTTGGTGGAAGTCGATGGATTCTCGATCACACATTTAAGATTTTATCTTCAAAGAGGTAAAATTAAGTTTTCTCTGAAAAAGAAAAACATGTTTTTGAAAATGATATTCCAATGAGCACCGATTATTTTCGTAAAATGTAGGAGTATAAAATTCATGTTACATAACGATGCACGAAAACATAAGTCACGTGCATTGACAATTATGCAAAATTTAAATCACTCAACGAAAATCAATTTATAGAGGAAACCTCACGCAATATGTAGCCGATTAATAAAAAATCATAGGATAAAAGCAAACGATGAACCTGCTCATTATTTTGTTGTACAAAGTGCACGGATCAATAAACACGCAGCGATAAAGTATGTACGTATTATATGTCAACATTGAACACTCAAAAGAAAAAAAGAGAAAGCTAGACGTGAAAGTAAAGACAATCGCTGCGCCATTATCAAATACGTGAGAAACACTCGAATTATAGTACATGCTGACGCCTCAATGACGAAGCAAAATTCGAAAAATCAAATGAAAAAACGATTCTCGAAACTCAAGCTGGTCCACAGTTGTATGGTTAAACAATCAATGGTGAAAATGTTGCTCTTTTGGTGTAATGAACAAGCTGACATATTCGTTTGCAAGACACAAGTCGTATCAGATAATCCTCTTACGTCATTTGAAAACATAAAAATTGTTCGAACCGAAAGTCAAACGAACAACGTTAGAAAGTAAAAATGCCTGTTTAAAAAAGGGTGTCGAATAGACCTGTCGGAGCAGCAACGGTATAGCATCATCGATATAGCCATTAGCCAGCAGGCAGCGCTCGAGACTCGAGAGAAGTGTGCGGCCGGCCGCGACGCTTCCGAAGCTCCTCCCCGCCGCCTGCACGCTGAATCGTGGTCAGTAAGCAGCGCGCTCGCGCAACGTGATCATTGTTCGAACGCATCTAACATAGTGCAATAAGGATCATGGCTTATCGCCGGGCTTTGCTGGCCAGCGTCCTCCCCCTCATCGCGCTCATTCTTCTTACCTTGGGTAAGTGTTTCTTGCATCATCGCTCTCCGCTACAACGCTACAACGCTACGGCGCTACGCCAATCGTCTCGCGCAATCAGAGTCGGTTCTCCGCAGTGAACCATCGAGCCGACGTTTCCAAGTTCCGGTGAAATCGCTCGAAGAAACTGGAACAGGACGAGGCAGTCTCTCCAAGTGGCGAATGTACACCACATGATCCTTGCGATACTCCGAAAAATCTGCTCGCTCTGTGATCATTGCTCATCGACACATCTAGCCTTCAACGAGAATATCGCAATACTTGCAAATCAAACGGCAAAGCGCAGCACACTAGCAACGGAAACTCTGCTACGGAAGTTTGAATAAGCGAAACGACGAGAGTCCCTTGAGTGAAGGCGAGAGAGCTCTACTCGAGCGTGTCTGACATTATCCACTTGCCGCGCGTATCTAGAGCGATTTTCGACCAGTAATACAGTTTGTAAAATTGATAGCTTGCAAGCAACACCTCGACAATACTCGTCCGCCGAGTACACCTCGCTTCATTCTTCGTATTATCTCATGTTTTTCCAAACTGCTTCATTCAGAGGGCAAACATTCTAGCGGAAACTCATAAAAAAGAAATTACCGGAAACACATTTACACTGATCGTGTACTGCGATACTCTCCGAAAACAGTGTCGATTGAATGCTAATTGCCAGCTTCCCACGTACGCGCATCAAAGCATAAAAGTATGCGCTACACGTCAGCCACGATGTTGATCCACTGCACAACAATCCGCATAGCTCGAAATGCCACCAAAAATGGGTTACTGATCATTCAGGCGTGCATCCAGAGCCACACTTCGAATTTTATTATTGGCAGCAATGCAATCAACTAAACTGGATGTCGAATCCTTAAAGCAACCAATTGCTGGTGTCCTCGTGTCTTACCCGCTACGATGCGCGCACGTTTATATCACGCGTACACTCGATCTCAATGAACTTGTCGAATATCGGAGGTCCGAAATAACTACTGTTTTGCCGTTCGTCGCGATTCAATCTGGTGTTTGGAATTGCAGTGGCAGACATCGAGGCTAAGAGAAGTTGGGGAGGAAGTCGAAAGTCAGGCAGCTCGGGTTCAGGCTGGTTTGGCTCAGGCTCAAGATCGTCGTCCAGTTCCAAGAGTAAACCTCAACAGACGCACTCGCAGACGCAAACGCAAACTCACGGTGCGTACATCCATGTATGCTTCGAGTCTCACTATAGAGCTGACAGTTTGGTTTTATTACTTGATTGCATGTGGTTTGACATTCATTGTGTTCAAGCGCTCGATAACCCTCCATCCATAATAATTGCTTGTTTTCTCTTTAAAATCGTTTGCCCCTATGCTCCCTTGCTTTCGAGTATTTCTTTTATACGGCGCTGTGAGCTATGTTATTCATTTTTTCAATCAACGGATTCGAAGCTCTACACCTTTCCGGCCTAATAGAAGAATGACTTTTCCAAAACAAAAACGTATACAGATAAAAGATACATTTGAACACAGCATGAATAATCTATGATCATACACATTATTATACACGTACATAGAACTGTCATTGCGCTGAATCACTCGCATAAGTATAGTTCGCGACGCGTAGCCCTGCAAACAAAATAATATAACGACCCCCCCCCCCCCCCCCCCCCCCCCGCCAGCGTAGTTGCTCGGACGGCGACCGCTGTTAGATATATACCAAAGTTTACGTAAGAACAACTATCCATCGGCGCGATTCTCTGTTTCATCCGCGTGAACATCGGTCAAGCGATTTAATTAAGAGAAGCTTAAGAACTAACGTAGACTCGAATTGGACAACAAGTAAATTCGAAGATGAGATGTTTGATACAAATGCAGGCACCAGTAGTGGCTCGAACAGTGGAAGCTACGGATGGAACGTTGGCTCTAACAATCAAAAGACCGGTAACGGTGGATACGGTACCGCTCAAAAACCATCGGCGCCAAGTCATGATCACGTGTCCAAAAGCAGTGCCACTAACGTGCAATCCGGTTATGCGTCAGGTTTGTTTTGATTTGGTTTGAATATTAGACATGATTATTTTCGTCGCGGCAAACCGAATAGACAACAATGTTTCGAGGAACTTCAGTTCAAACGCTTGTTCTCATAAATTCTTTTGATTTTTATTGATCTCTCTATAAAATGCCAACACATATATTTCGAATAAAGCATTACGAAATTGTCATTCAAAAAACGAATGCTCTTTAAAATATCAGTCAAAAGACTCAAGGAAAAACATGTGATATGTTCAGGAAGCTACGGTAACCCACCAGCATACAACCCATCTGGTGGTTATCGTGCCGGCAATCCACCAGCTTACAGCCAATCCAACACCGGTTATCACGGTAACCCACCACCCTATAGCCAATCAGGTGGTTACCATGCACCTCCACCATACGGTTCATCGGGTGGTTACGGTGGTTACTCTGGTTACGGTGGTAGTCCAAATTATGGTGGTCACGGCTTCAACAGCAATCCCGGTCACGGATACAACCCATCGTACGGACACTCGAGTTTCTCTCAGCCGTCGACCGTTGTTTTGCAGCAGTCCTCCCGGCCTGGAATCGGACAGCTCGCCAAGGAAGCCTTCGTTTTTGCTGGTGTCAGCGCTGGCGTTAACGCTGCTGTCAATCGAATTCTCCCTGGTGGGATCTATGGCAACAGCTTCGGACACGGCAGCGTCTCTAGTTCGGGAGTCGTACCGCCAGTCTCCCACACGCAGATCACCTACAATAACTACTATAACAACGCCAGCAGCGCCAATGGGGGCTCGGCTGAGCAAGCAGCTCCGGCGCCTGCTCAGTCGGCTGCCGCTCCTGTGCCTGCGCCTGCAGCACTGCCAGCGCCCGCCCCGGCTTCACCAGCTGAGCCGAATCAAGCTGCTGCGGCTAATAATCAACAGCAACAACAGCCGACACAGGAGCAGAATGCTCCGAGCCCAGCTAACTTCGCCATCTCCGACGCCGAGCTGCAAAAATTGACTGAGCAACTATTCTCTAAGGATACCAATAACGCTTTCAAGCATATCACCATGAAGCTTCAGGGACAGAAAACCGATGACAGTACGAGCGACGATGCTGCCGAGAAGTAAGCCGTCCCGCCACTTTTCCACATTCATCCTGTCATTGCAAAACTACACTTTGTTAAGACTTTTTCCGGTTTCTCTAGTCTGCTGCAAGTCAAATCTGAAGCTTACGAAATCCCGACCATCAAAGCAGTGCTTGCGCTACACGACAACTACCAGCTCGACGTCAAGACCAAAGAAGAGCTAACATCCGCTGAACGTAAAGAAGAAGCCGATCTACTCGACGCGTTTATGGACACCGAAGTGATGAAAGCGACTATGGAGTATCTCGCCGACAAGGGATACGTGCCCAACGACGAATACGAGTTTAAAGATACTCTCAAACGAATCTGGTTCTCGCAATTCAAACGGATCGATGGTGCTCCATCGAGCTCTGGATTTGAAACTGTTTTCCTGGCCGAGAAGTTCGATAATGAGATCATTGGCCTGCATAATTGGATTTACTTTGCTAAGCAGGAGGAAGATAAAAAGCTTGATTATCTAGGATATATTAAGAAGCTCGATCTTGGTACCGTGAGTATCTACTATTTTTGTTTTCTTTCTTAAATGTGCAAATACGTTTAATGACTGTGTAATTCTTATTTTGTAATTTTCTACGAATAGAACGGAGCGGTAGTTAAAGGACGTTCAAAGTTGATCGACACAGTGCAACCGATCACGACAATATTCGTCGGAACGTCCCCGGAACTCGAGATGGCACTTTACACTCTGTGCTTTTACACTCGTCCTAACAACGTATGTCCTGTGTCTTTAGGTGGTGCCAATGTCCTCATCATCGCTAACCGCATCAATTACTTTGGAAAGGATATCCTCATCTCAGCTTTCCCCGATATTTAAAAAACAAGATCTTACTATACTGTTAGTAAAAGTGATAGCATACTTTATTTTTTCCTAAAATACTCCTGAGATTATACATGAATATGACCCGTCGATTCGTTAGACTTGTTTTAGAAAGCGTAGAACATGGTAGTAACTGTAAACTTATTCTAAGTTTAAGCTGAAAGAAGTATTGTGTACGATAGTAAAATCCATATTTACTGTATTTTTATTGAGAATATTAATTATTTTTAAATATATTTTCACTTAAGTAAGCAGTTCAATAAGTGTATTCGAGATATTCAACCGATAGTATTTTTAAAAATATTTGCAAGAATAATTTTAATAATTAAAGAAAGAGAAGCATCATTGGGTTTACAGATTTGTCAGTTGTGAAAATAAATTGATTTTTACTTACATTTTTTAAATAATTACGTTTCTCTGCAGCCTCCAAATCTAACAAAGGTATTATAGAAGGTCTACCATGGGCACATCTTGTAGGAGCTTTTGTATTTTGTAATGCCTGAATGAGTAATGTACATTCCTTAACATTTAAAGGATCACCAAATTTAATCGCTCCTTAAAATTATGTAAATTTTGTAAGATATTTTTATTTCATTTGTTTTTCTACAGAAAGTCAACTGCGTATACACTTTGTATTCTTACCATGACAAGCTTCGCTGGCTATGACATTGTTAATGGTAATTGGTAAAATAGGAGGTAAAACATTATGTGACAATCCTTTGGCTACTTCTAAGAGCAACTGTTTTACATTTTTCTTCAGCCTGTATATATGCTGATCATCATTGCAATATCTTTTTCTTTTTAAAAAGCATCTTGGTACTGCATCAACTATACAAGTACTAGAATTAACAAATCCTTTAACATGAATACCAACTCTCATTGGAATTTCCTTGTGTATACAAATGAGCTTGAGTAAATTTTTATCAATATCTGTTATCAATAAGTCCTTATGTAGTTTTTCTGATACATAACTATGTCTTCCTTTTTCTCTGTAAGCTGTAAAATATTGATCTTAACCTTCACTACTATTATATAGAGTTTATTTAATATAGTTTCAAAAATATACCTTCTATAAGCCATTCATAACGTATTCTTTCATGAATAGCATGTTGATCTATCAAAATAATTAATTTCTTTCCATTATCATTTGCCACAGCAACGATAAATTCTTTATTTATTTGCTTGATTATCTATTATATTTTATGAATCACATTAATATAGTTTTACTATACAGTTGCTCAATTATATTTTGTAAAAATTTAAAACTTACTTGCAATGAATTGATTGTATTACTAGATATTCTACATTCAGCCAATTTAGGCTTTATTAATGCATCTCTTTCAAAATTGCATTTATTAACATTTTCAGAAATTGAAAGCCATTTACAATGTAAATTTCTCGAGTTATTATTGAAATTAAACTTGTCTGGGTGATAAGACCAATCAGACCAAACTGACAATTGACTTAAATTGACGAAAGCATCATTTGATACATCAATTTGCTCATTTGAACTGAAAAAAATATCACTATCAACATTAGCAACTAATTTTGGCTTATATGACCAATCAGACCAAACAGAAGGTAGACTACAGACATTGTTATTAAAAACTGAATTATTTTGATTATGTGTAGACGTAGGTGTAACTAGCAAATTAAAACTATCTATTTCTTTACTAATTTCATCCTTCTCAGTCTTATAGTTAATCTTAGTATTATTCGATGTTTGACCTATTGACTGAATTATATGTTTAAAGTTTTGTGTTACTTTCATTTCTTTCAAAACTGACCAAGGGCTATGTGGTTTACCTACTCTAAATAATATTTTGTCTTCGCTGTCACTTCGTAATGAAAATGATACCTGACCAAACAATGTTTATAAGTATTTCACAAAATCTTTCATATCGAGGAAGAGCAACAAAATTACCTCTAATTCAATAAATGCTAATGCAGCCAGTACATAAGCAATAGTATAATTTTTATCACTTTCAATCCAACTTGAAGAACTATAATCATAAACTGTTACAGTAGTACCTTTTGATGGCCTGTCATAGCCTTGAATAAACTTATCTCTACTTTTATTAGCAACCTTTGTATTCAACAGTCAATTACAAAAATATTATAATATATCACATAAAATCACATCATTCAAAAATTTTTAATGAAAAGGATAAATACCTACCTTTACATATGTATGGGAAGAAAGTTCATGTTTTGAAGTTACTATTACAGCATTTGAAGTACATCTTATTTTAACAAAAATGTGTTGTTCAGATTCTTCATTTTTCTTATTAAAAATAGAAGCTAACTCACTCTTTGTATAACCATATGAATTATCAACAACTTGTATTTTTCTCTGTTTATAATCAAATCTTACTGCAATTGCAGAAGCTCTACGTTTCAATGCAATTTTAACCTTCACATAAATAAAATCACGTAATGAAAAATTCAATATAAATGATTTAAAAAAACTTTATGCCGTACTAAAAAAGTAAATTATCATACCAACTGAAAAATACATGTCTCTACAGTTAAATTACAATTATTCAACTTATGTGTGATGTTTGACATTGCGTGATAAATGTTTTGTTTAAAAATCCACTTGGCACATCGGGCTTACACGATTTTGTATGCCCGTGTTTGTCACGTCGCTTCTTTAAGATTATTATTGGCTCTAGTATCGACAGGCTGAATTGCGAGTGTGTGTCCCATACGACTATCAACAGACTTTTAGTATTTCCACAGGCCTTATAGATAGTAGAGAGACGCATAGAAAGTTTTAGATGAACAAAAGGGAAAGCTAATAAGTAAAGAAAGGTTTTTGAAGCTTCAGAATAGAAATTAAGAGTAGAGAGTTGGATTGATAAGGAAAGGGAAAGGGATTCTAAGAAGATATTTATGTTATTTACAAAACAAATCTGTTACATCAGGGTCTGGGTTTGTGAAAGGAATAATCTGATTTTATATGACAAGAACAATTTTCTTTTTTTAAGTCTGAATAGAAGAGCTTTTCGTTGTATAATAAATTTTTCGAAGATTTGAATTTTTTAAGTTATATCGTAAATTCAGAGCTGGTTTCGCTGCTGTTGCTTAAGGTGATATAGGGTAGTGATCACTGCCAATAAAGTTGTCCTCGCTTACAGACTATTTGTACAAAGTGTGTAAATGAGGAGAGACGAATAACAGATCTATGTGGGTATAGAGTTGTTCCGATTGGACTTTTTCACGAAGGTTGGTGCATCGACATTCAGCAAAAGCAGATCGTTGTCTAGGAGCGTTGAGTAGAAGTTGGCCATGATGTCTGACGAAGGGCTTAATTCCCTATACGACATTGTGGCAGTTAAGATCGCCACCTACGAAGATAGAGTTAAAGGGAGCTAGAGGACTGACTAAAAATAGTCAATACGCCGCTGAAAACTGATCGTTCGTCGGTCTACATACAGTGACAATCGTGAGATCAGAGTTTCCATTATTTTCGGTATGCTTGGTACATACTTTCTAAAGAGGTAAATAGACTATTGTTCTTGATAACTATGGCGCAATATCTCCGCCATTGCCATCCCTGCCGCGACGTAAAAAAGTGAAATGGCTCAAGGTTAATTAATATTTTTCGCTAGTCTTCGTCTCGAGGAGTATGATAATGTCGTAGCTAGTCGTCCGAAATATTAATAAACTACGGTCTTTGGAATACGAAGAGAGCTATTATTGGGCCTTGAGACCATTTTTAGTTGCGATATTTGAGAAGAATTCCTGAAATTTGGATAAATGATTGCTGTTCGACTTTGCAACAATTGGTAGAATAAACTTTGTGATTATGATGAAGAAGATAGAGAGAGAGCATAGGAGGCGTCTATGAGAGTTTCAAATATATGATGGTCGTCTTCAGTATTTAGATGTTGATAATGGTCTTCCTCGGCAACGCTGGCTAAAGAGAAAACAGGAGGCAAGGGCGAAGAAATTACAATAGAACGTTGACGTACTCGCGTTGTTGCACTCGCGAAGGGACAGGATAGCAACCAAGTGAGTGATAATGGGTATGATGCTGGCCTAAAAGCTGGCGCTTCGCGTCACTAGCTTCGTATGCGACTGTAGGTTGTGATGCAGATGGGTAGGCGCTCGTAGGCTGGTCGAATGAATGTATGTTAGACGCCTAGTGCTGTAGACGACGTTGTTGGGAAGGCAGTGACTTTCTGGAGAAGGTCGTAGCGTAGGAAGTGTTTTGCTGTTGTTGTTCTTCTCGCTAAGAGCCCCGGGGTTGATAGTGTCAGATAGAACTAAAAGAGTTGTCTGTGGGTGACTGAGAACAAGGCATGTTTTGATTGAGAGAGGGGAAAGAAGTTTTCGTCACTGAAGAAGACGAGGATAGGTCTTTTATAAGTTTTTTGTTGTGAATGGCTGAAGCTCTAGATTGAAAGGTCGGAGGAGAGTTTTTCAGCTGAATCTTGAGTGTCTCTTGGACTGAGCAGTTATTATAAGCAACTGATTTTCTCACTTCTCGTTGATACATATATTCGGGACATTCTTTTGACGTAGGCAGACGGTCACCCCTACAATTTATGTGCACATACATCTTAGGAATCGTCAGATTTATGTTATAGTTTTTTTACGCTTGTCACAGAGTGGTCTGCCGTTGCATTCATTTTTGAGATATCCATTAATGAAGCAGTTCAATGGTTTGATGAGTAGAGATACACCTTAGGGGTAGGGATTGTCCTTCAAAGGTGAGTTTGATGTTTTTAGTAGGAATGAGAGCGTCTAAGCCGTCTGGCTTTCTGTCTCTGCGGTGAAGTCTTCTTACTTCAATGATCTGATATCGGATATTCGGGGATTGTATCAGATGGAGAATTTGTGAAGCTGAAATGTCACGAGGGACGTCTCTTATTATGCTCTGTCTCGTGCAGTGAGCATGAGGGGTGGGAGCTCTTAGATTTGATAAAAATGGGGTCGTTAAGTAGACGGTTGGAGGTGCAGCACCGGTTTTGAACGGGACTGAAACTCTGAATTGGCCTGTGTTTTTTTATAGTCACAAAAAACAAAGTCCGAGTAGGATTTTGAGAGGAGGCGTTCAAGCATGTTGGGGGGGGGGGGGGGGGTTAAGGCTGCCCTTGACAGCTTTTTTTGTCAATGGGTTCGACAAATACTATGAACGGTTCGTTCCATTTAGAACAATGAAAGTTTTGTACGAGGGCGTCTTTTATGCCTGAATTTTGGGTCAATTGAAAGTTTAGCACTATCTGGGAATTGATCGGTTACCTGCGTAATTGGTAACTAGTTACTGAAAAGTAATCCTGCTGAGTACAGATCTAATCGTTGATCGAAAAATAACGCTCTTTTCGATATTATTCAATAGTCAACCAGTCGTTGTAAAAAAATAAGCGGATATTTCGTGTTGAAATTTTGAAGTAACGTATGCAAAACGTTGAACTTTCCGACAACGATTCACCAACATATCATAGTGCTTCTATCGAAAATCTCAGCTCGATAGACTTAAGGGTGTTATCTTGCTCAGTGATTCTCGATGGCAGTTCCTTAATTTTTAAGTTCATTTCGCTATTTTCAAGTGTTATCGATATTAATATGTCAATTGAAAATGTCATTAGTAATAATACCACTAAATAACAATTTGAAAAAACTATTCACAATTAATACTCCCTGAAGCGTTTATCGTGATCGAGATTATCGTAAAGACGAGACGAGATAAAATATGGTTTATTAATACTCAAAACTTGAGAGAGAGCAATCGTTAGTTAAAAATTTGAGAAACGTCCGTCGCCCTTAAGCTTGAATGCCTTATATAATGTACACAATATGAAAAATTAAAAAAATTATCAAGTATACAGTACTAAATTGTTGCTTAACCCTACGGGAGCGAAATATTTTACAACAGTAGCAAAAGCTCCACTTGAACTTACAAACATAAACAAAGCAAGTGATAAACTTTGTAGTTAGCTTAGGATTCTTTGCGATTTAAACGTTGATTGGGAAATGAAATATAATTGGTACAGTTTTGTATTCTATAACTATTTATTTATATTACATTACTATAAATATCTTTAGTTTTCACTTTTTGAAAGCAAAATCACAGCTACATAAAATGTGGCTCTATAAAATATTTTTCCAATGTAGTAATAATACATGCGATCGACAATAATCAAATCCATATATTTTTTCTGTTTTTCGCTTTATGAACAAATGCGAAAAATATAATAATACTAATGACAATATTCCATAGCGCTACTTTTACGTATAATCTACAGCTACGTTGTTACAGCAGGGCACACTTTTAAAGGGCCCGTAACTTTGTGAATTGTAATTAAACTGATTCCCTATATGAATCTATCTACGTCCACGCTTTTCTCATGACTGAAAGTTTGCAACTTTACCCTAAAAACTAGATAAATATTGTTTATGACTTGAATCGTATTCACTCTTGCTGATTACCAGTTTGCTCACTCGAGGCTAATTAATTCGTCTGTTGACATGTTGCAATTCAAGTATGGCACTTCTATGGCTAGCTAGTTTAATAGTCTAGCTTCAGGAATTGTTATACCCCTTTTTTATTTATATTCGATCGCAATGCGAAAATAAAGATTTCGTGCAAGATCGTAAACTCTGTAACGGATAATATCAAGTACACAAATTACGAAAATAATTCGATTGTTGCAAATCCAACCAAGTTGACACAGGCACAAATAATTGGTTAATGATTTAGATTTGTTATTTGAACTTTAAGTAAGCGGCAAAATTTATTTTATAAATCGGATTCAAGGCACATTATCATTTCCTCTGTCGTGTCTACACGTCGTAATAATAATAATAATTATTATTATAATAATATTAATTTATTTATCGAGTTATCTCAACTGGCAGTCTTTCGAATAAATTAAATTTCATATAAAATCTTTACAATACTGTTTGTATATAATACGATATCCGCACCTTTTCTATCTCCCGATTAATTATTTTCTGTTTAACGTTTATTCCGATGCAATTAAATACACAAACACACGGTTCCACAAACACGCGCGCACTCACGCACACACGCATACATACGCACAAATCATCTATTTGGTTTATTCTAACTTGAATTATTGCCTTAGTTACAATTGGTTTCGAGTCTTGTATGCTAATCAACGCAAATGAAAGAGTCGACGATAGTCAGAGAATTTGGTTCAGTCCTACCGATCGCCGCCGTAAATATTTACAAATTAAGCGTCCATATGTCTGTACTTGTGAGCCGACATTTGAGCCAATCCAAGGACTGCGTATTGACATTGCAGACAATGATAGTGAGTTTGTTTACCGGAATGCTGGCATTGCATTGCCCCACATGGTTGACTGGGAGTAAATTTTTGAAAGCCTGCTGCGGCTATACTGTCTAATTTGGCATGTTGTCGCCGGTGCGCGACAACTTTATTTGTGTCAGTGCATACAAAGTCACATTTAAGGCAATGAAAGTGTGAAGCTTTATTTTGCACGGACCCCAAGGACGAGGTGTAAGCGCACTGACTCCTTCCGCACGGGACGTTTGCTCGGTACTGCTGAAAATCTCCGCCCATCAGCGTATCAAGTCGCTCGTGCCTCGCGGTATGTTGAACAAATCGAGTTTTATCGCAAAACGAGTATCCACAGTCTTGGCGCATACAGTGAAAGTGCGTCTGGTGCTCCCTGTAACCACAATGAGGGTAGCGACAGTCTTCGTTGAATCGGAATCGTATGTAACCGTCGGGAACGGGCTCATCCTTGAGCATTCTCATCGAATGATGAAGCCGTTGCTTCTTAGCATCCGAAGCTGATAAGGTAGCGTCCGACGGTGACAGCGAGCGCTTCGTAAGATTCAAGTTAGCAGCTAAGGAGGCCAAAGGATTATCATCTGCTGGCCTACCCGTGGTCGGTAAAAAGTTATTGGAAGGTAATCCTGCTGCTGATCCGCCAAACATTAGGTGGCTAGGTGCTCCGGCGTACATTGTCGATGCGTGTTGCAGAAATGGAGGCAACGCCTGATTCATCAGAGCAATTTGCTGGTTCATAGCTGCTGCCATTACGGCAGGACTAGGGAAATGAAAACCGTGACTTAGATCCAATTCGAAGCCTGCAGGAGCTTGTTGGACGTTTAAAGGTTCGGTTACAATTTGGGTCAGCAATGGCTGCTGAGGTTGCTGACGTTGATTATTTTCTCGGCTATCAGTCGATGCTATTGCCGATACGCTATTTGCCTCGATCAGCTCTGCCTGCTCTCGTTTTATCTGGCTCTGTTGATTATTAGTATTGGACTCGAATTTGACGTCCTTGGACGATTTTAATAACTGCTGTTGATTTTGATAGTGCTGCTGCTGCTGCTGCTGCTGCTGCTGCTGCTGCTGCTGCTGCTGCGTTTGCTGCTGCTGTTGCTGATGATGATGATGATGATGAACGTGATGATGATGCGGATGCTGCTGGGGATGAGACAAATCCAGCTGCTGCTGTATATGTTCGAGCGCTGTAGACGGCATCTGTTGACTAGCGCCCAGTAATGCGCCTGCCGAATGCTTCGCGACGTGACTGACTAAACGATCCGATTCGGAGAATGCCTGGTTGCAGGCGTTACAGTGGTAGTGATTTTTTCGTTTGAGCTTACAAAACGGACGACTGCAGCTCTGCTCCGGCCCGTACAGCGTATGAGCCGACGACGACAGCGATACCGCCGCTGCCGCCGCTGCTGCCGCCGCCGCCGCCGCCGCCACCGCCGACGACGACGACGACGACGACGGCGATGACGATGTTAAAGACAATTGTACTGGTGCCGTGGAAACTGCTGCTACTGCTGCACTCGTCATTGTTACGCTTGGCTGCGCCGCTACTTCTAAAACAATCGTACAGTCGGTCACAATTCTTCAAAAATTCGCCTCAACTTGCAAGAATAATACTTATTAACCAACCAACTAATAACTCAACTACCGGAAAATTTATCAAGCGGAAAAAATAAATGAGACACGAACCTTGGTGCACGGAAGCTCGCATGGATAACATGGCGCCCGGTAGTGCGGATTCGTTCGGCGGTCCGGTGACCGGATAATAGGTGCCTGCAGCCCTCACCACTAACAATAATCAACCAAAAAAAAAAAAAGAAAACAAGCACACTTCAATTTTACTTCAAATCTTTCTACCAAGTGCAAGCTACATGCATTATCGAGAGTAGATAGTAGTGTGTACACTGCTCGTCAAAAGCTCTTACCAGTAGTTTTACTATTGACGTCTGCCTGTGGGACCTGCTGCAGAACCTCCGTGTCTCTTTCTTTATTTTCTCTCGCAGCCTCGTTCGTCGACGCCGCCGACTTATCAATCAACTCGGCAGGATTCTTTACGTGTATCCTCGGCTTGATCTCTTCATTTTGGACATGCTCGGGATGATCATGAAGTGTCATCGCAGAGTAGCGTACGAAAGAATAATCGCAGCCCGGACGTGTACAGTGAAAGTGACGATTGATACGATTGTTGTGACAAGTCGTTAACCGACAGTCGACCATCCTGTCGAAGAAGGCGAAACCGTCTGGGATATCAACATTGTCGTGAAAATCTTTACTGTGCATGAGCAGTTGATCAGGACGATCGGTAGAAAAATGACAACGTGGTTGCGAACAGTGATGATGTCTGATCGAACGTAAACAGCAGGAATTGTCGGGACAGGTATCTGGTCCATAGGTAGAAAATCCAACGGGATCTTGGTCGTTGTCGCTACCCTCTCTTTCCGCGTCTGTGCCTGCGCTCTGATGGTGCTGCTGCTGCTGCTGCTGCTGCTGCTGCGGATGATGATGATGCTGATGATGATGGGCAGGCTGAAATGAGGTCGGAGTGACTTTTGGCAGCTTGAAGCTAGTAAAAATCGCTTGCGGTGAGTCTTGCGTATGGCTAGTCAAACCATCGCCTGCACTCCAAATTTCAATTACTCTGTTTTTGGGAGGTCGGCCCCGCTTTCTTCTGAACATAGCATCGATGTTTGTCAGATGAGTTAGCGTTACCTCGGAAGACAGAAGATGAGAACCGTCGCCTGAGAGATTTAATTGTCGGCTGTATTCGTGAATCTTATAGTGCTGTAACCTGCGAAATGGCTTGTCTGTCGCTAGTATAACTTCTCGGCAATTGTCCCAGTTGCAATGATAATGCTTTTCCTTGTCGGTATACGGACAGCTGGATTCGTCACAACCGCCCTCCTCGAAAAATGCATCCGTTATTCGCTCCTGGGTCTCGTGCTCGCGCAAATGCTCGCGAACTTCGCGAGGATCGCGCAAAACGGCCCCGCAGCGCTCGAGACCGCAATGATAGTGCTCTCTGCCGAGATTGCAGTTGCACTCTGTCGTAGCCGCAATCAAGTAAGCTGTAAGATTTATTAATACGCCTATTTATTTATTTGAATAGCTAATGAGATTTGCAAGGTAAAATTCACTTGGTAGCGATAACGAAATCCTTGAAAAATAATAACTGCTCGGTAATATTTACCCAATTCGGTAGACGTCAATTGCCGCTGCAGTTGATCCGAGATCCCCAAAGTCGTGCTAGCCGTTAGATCCATAGCGAGATCGGCGTTACTGCTCTGACAAGAGTCATCCATAGAGTAGAGCGGGGGCGAGTCGTGCTCTTCGTTCGAACTCTCGCCGTTGAGATTAAACGAGAGAGCTTGCGTCGCGAGCTCGTCGTACGGGGGTGGCTGTGCTGTCCAGTAAGCGCCACTCGACGAGGACGAAGACGAGGCTAACGTCGACGGTCCTCGGTTGTAAGTCGAGACCGAGGAACTAGCGGTGCCAGCGCTCGCCTGCTGCTTGTACCTTCGATAAGCGAGTTCTGTGTCGCTTCTTTCGTGTTTGCGCTTGTGCGAGAACAGCTGGCCCGAAGAGTGAAGTACGTAATTGCATTGCGGGCGTATGCAGTGAATGTGATTGCAGACTCGTGAGAATCGACACTGCTCGAATGGACATGCCTCGGACTTCATGAATTTTTTGAATCCGTCGCGCGACAGCTGCTCGTCCTTGATGTGATAGGACTTGTGCTTGTCTATAACCGAGCAAACATGGTAATGAAATTATTATCAGGTTCGACGATCAATGCGCGGAATCGACTCACCCATATCGGCTTTATTTTTAAAAGTATAACGACAACCCGGTCTTCGGCAATGAAAGTGCGTAGTCCTCTGGCCGACGAATGGGCAGTGCTCAGTGGCGCAGTTCTCGGTCGCCCTGTACCTTTGGAAACCCTCCTGAATGATCGCCGAATCCTTCCTGTGATAATTGGCATGCATCTGAACGTCCGAAGTAGATATGTAGACTTTATCACAATTTTCATGGATGCAGTGGTAGTGCGTTTGCTTGCGGTTGTGAGGACACTGCCTGCCGGGGTGGCGTTCCGCGCAATCGTCCGTTGGCGAGTAGCGCATGAAACCGTGCTGAAGGGACTCGTCCCGCTTTTTATGCCATTTAAAGTGTCGAATCATTTCTTCTTTTTTAATAAACACTCGTCCGCCACTGCAATCGAGGCAATGAAAATGCTCGCGACAACCCAGCTCCTTGCAATAAGAATTGCCGCACTCCTGCCCACTACCGTAACGACGCACGTAGCGAGAATAGTCGATTATCGGTTGCTGCTGCTGCTGCTGCTGCTGCTGCTGCTGAGACGATGTTCCTCCCCCTGAAGTTACGCCGATGGCCTTTGTGCTTATCGAACTGGTACTAAGCAACATTTCAGAGGACACCGGAGACATACTTTGCCGAAGTAGAGCTGAAAAAATACACATAAAATATGAAGACTCACGAACGCGAGATTAATTCCCTCTTGAGACTCCTTTATACATCTTTTACGTAAAACTATCGTTTCGTCTTTCTTTTTAACCTTTTTATTTTCCTAAGCATAAAGGAGAGTAGGGAGAGCAAGATTAAAAAAAATAAAAAAGAAAAAGGGAGGCCTCAAAATTTTTCAAAAAGCCGATCGTGAAAGGGAAAGGGACGAATTCTTTTTTTATCACTTAATCCATACGGGCACAACTGAATAACCCTTTATGCGTCGACTTGCCCTATATCTCACGCATACAGCAGCAAGGGGAGAACGAATGTATACAGTGGAGTGGTCGGCTGCTGTACGCTTCGGGCTTTCAATTGAATTGCTTCTTTAAAAAAGAACCAAATAGGTACACGTTGCTGAAAAATTGCTCGTAACGGACGGCTAGTTTTTGATGACCCTTGTCACAACATTGTTTCCGGAAAAATGCTTCTAATAAACATGTGTTACACGCTGTTTTATTAGGCAAAAGGGAACAGATGTATGCGGACTAAGTATTACTTATTAACGGTTTATTTCGAGCTCGGTTAAAGGGTAAACTGCAGATGTAACGTGGTGCTATTCTAGGACTTATTGACAACGGCTGCAATGCCTAAAAGAATCCTAAAACTAAAATTTTCCAAGGGTCGTTCGCTCCTCTAGAACGCGCGATCTGTCGTCGCAAGAAAAACGCGGAAATCGAAGAAACGATAGGTTGCCTACCACGGCACTTACTTTTTACTTGCCGTCCGTATTAGCCTGTCCTCGGGGTCAAAGACATCAGCGGCCATTGCCGTACAGCCGAAACGACTAACTTTGATCTATTTTAAAGATAAGTATTCGCAGAGCAGAAGAAAAAAACGTCGAAATAGAAAGTACGCGAGCAAGTAGTTGCAATTTGCGACGGACGCGTCTGCGGATTGGTACTATTTTTCTCTTGGCGCATCGGTCGATTTCGAAAGCCAAACTCTGCACAGCGCAGCGCGTCCAACAATTAAATTTAGAATATTTTTTAAATTTCTCCAATTCCAAGCTTGAGTGATTTGGCACACTGCATTGCGTGCTCCGCCGCCGCCGCTGAGATGTTTTGTCAAGTACAAAACAACAATGATCTATTCGAGCTCCAATAACTTATCCAATTGAAATTTGGTATTTTTTTTATAGACAAACGAGCATTGCTCGATTGTTTTCATCTTGATTTTTTCGGTTTTTCGGTCTTTTCGACGCGACATTTCCAACGAGGCTCCGCTTAAAGTCATTCAAATCCAACTACCTCGTTCCTCGTCTCGTGCCGATTGACAAATAGCGACTTAGAATTTTTCCTCGATCATGGTCCTCGATCGGGGACAATTGCCGCCGCGCGGGCCAAAACTAGAGCTTCAAATGCGTTCTTTTGGCAGCCAGCTGCTGATAATGTCGTAATTTTTATTTTGCGTTTTGAGCACATCTTTTTATTTGCACATCAACTCGAAGCGAGCAATAGTCGTGTCCTAATTTGGCGTCTCAAAACAGATCCGACGCTGAGTTTTGCGCGTTTTTCATTGATTTCCATCGAAAATCGCCGCGGACGGAGCTGCACCAAACATTGATCGTTATAGGCATCGCAGAACGAAAGAGCTAGCAAGAAAGAGAATAATACGTTAAATCAGCAAGCAGCAACTACTCTAATTGGCCACTTTGTCCATTTATTCGATTTATTTAAATTATGGGACAATTGACAGTAGGCATTCTATTTTTTAAATCTCCTCGAGAAGCAGCGGCGGCAGCTGATTGGGTGAGATTGGCGTGAGACACTGGCCCCACAGATTCCCCAGTTGTGGGCTTAATCAACTTTGATTGCTGCTCCGTCTCTCTTTTTCTCTTTCGTTTGCTCCGCTCTCCCCCTTTTCTGATGTCTTGTAAAGCTTCAGTTCTACTTGACCACGCGTATTTTCATAACTCGACGCGTATCGACTGTTGCGCAAGTTAATGACTCTTCTGTCGAGCGCATAGACAGAGCCATCCGAGCCGGTCCCTTGCATGCACTAATGCACTAATGCACTATCGATAAAGACTCACCAGAAACTTTGGAATCGATCCCTTCCACTTTCATCGCTGCCAAACTCGATATTGTCGGTGGTATCTGCAAGAAAAGACAGAATTGCAGCGGGCGTTCATTCGAATTTTTCATTAATTTCGTCGTTCGATCAAATTTCAAGTTATTTGTTAATCGGAAAAGGACAAAGAAAGTCTGCAGCAATGAAATGCAGAAAAAAGAAGAATGCCAAGCAAAATATGCATTGTATGCAATGACGAACGATGTAAGCAGAATCGCCGAAAGCCAATGACCGATTTCCGGTTTTCGCTAAAAACTTTGGGTAAGTACGTCGGATCGGCGGCCGACCTTGCATCGAATAATCGAAATTAAATGGTTGTTTTATCTTATGGAATTATTCAATAGACCAGAGCTCAGCAGCGGCAATAGCAGCACGGAAGCCCCGTTCAAACTCCACTGAAATTATTTAAATCCTGTATGACTTCCGAAGCCTTAGGCAGAGAGAACATCCAACCAACGCCCGCCTCGTCCGTGAAACATGAATTTTCCAAACGTTTTAGATATCGTTGTCTTTTTAATTAATCGCGCGCAACTCTCTCTCTCTCTCTCTCTCTCTCTCCTTCCACTCGATCCACTCGATTCTATGAATAATAAACAAAAAAGTATTATGAATAGCGAATTGTGCTATAGATTTCATTCTCTTGCTTTTAGTTGGTCGAGTTCGATTGGTCGATTCACTTTCCGCTTACGTGTTCATTCTCTTTACAATGGTCGTTAACAAGGATTTCCTGGAACCTCTGCACCCAGCTCTCGGTCTTTCTCTCTCCTTCGTTCATTTATTCGTGCGCTGTTCCCGATGGCTAGCAACTCTATTTTTGCCGCGCAAGTGCTGCCGCAAGAGTGCACTCAAAAAACGCCTTCGTTTCCAAATTATCAGTTTGTTGCTCAAGATTTCATTGCAAATACGTAGCCATTAGCTTATTGATTTGAATGCTGATTTGGACTTTACATTATGCAAATTGAGTAGTCGCTAAGATAGTACGAGAGAAGTTATCGAACGGAGACGCGAGAGGGAGAGAGAGAGAGAGAGCGAGTGGACAAGAGTATATAGGCTTATATGAACGCAAAATACCAAGAGTCTAGAAAGGTATGAGAAAACAATAGAGCCTAATTTGCAAACAATAGAATAACGTTAAGAGTCAAGTACTATACGTGCTCTTACTGTTGTTACTTTTCTTATACATCTGCTTGCGTGTGCACGTTATAATGCCGAAGAGCATATGCCCATTAATATTCAAAGGTGAAAAATAATGTAAACAACATGGCGAAAATCGAGGGAACAATTTCTGCGCTTCAAGTGAGAGCTGCTCGATGCCAGCTTATGCGCGATTCAGAATTCACCATTGTGCGAAAGCGAGTTTGTTCTGCAAGCCCGACGGTTAGACGTATTTTTTTCATCTTACCCTTATTTCATCGGCGTCGTCAGCGCTCGGCTGTCCTTGGAGCGCGTTGCTGTTCCAGTGAGCTTGAAGGTTTTGCTGCAGTAGCTGCGCCAACTGTGGATTTTGACTTAATATAGCAGGATTCTGCTGCAGCAGTTGGGCGAGCGCTGGATTCTGGACGAGAATTTGTTTGAGGGGCGAGCCAGCAACTGGCCCGGGATGCAAACCAGCCGCGATCACCGCTGCGGCGGCAGCCTGCTGAACGCTAGGCGAACCGATGCTCAAAGGTGTAACACTGACCAAGCCACCGCTGCTGCTGCTGCTGCTGCTGCTGTTATTGGCGCTCAATTGGCGCGATGGACTTTGAGGTGTATGTGGCGGCGTCGGTGGACTACCTGGCGCTGTCGTTGACGCTTCTTTGTCTTCTTTCGCCTTCGCTTTTGCCGCATCTGCCAAATAAACGCACGAGTTTCTTCATATGGAAATCATATCAACTTGAAAACCAGCCACATGCGCCGCGTTCCTGATAAAACGGCATTTTTTCAAAGAAACACCGAGGGAGAAGTGAAACAAGAATAGAGAGGGTCGGACGAAAAAAAATTGTGGCAAATCAATCACTCTAGTGACCTGCTTTTTTTTTTGGCTTTTTTTTCTACTAGACACACGGAACAATCGTGAAATTGAGACGTCTCGACGTTATAAAGTCCCATAATCGTTCGAGCAGGTACATCTGCTCCGTTTAATCGATCGATTACCGCTCTGTACGCACTGCTGTTGCTCTATCGACTTTTGTTGCAGAAAAAAAGCTGCACCCTTCAACGCGGTTGCTTTTTTCTCCAAACAGATAGACACTCTTAATCTTCGGAGTACCTAGTATTAGTGTGCATTCGAATGCTTATTTTTATCGTTCTTGTCTGTTTCAGGCAAATCGTTTCATTTGCAACAGCCGCTTCGCGTACAACATCCCACTTCTCCGCACGTTTAGTCGAGCGTGTACGTTCTGGCGCACCAAGCGCGCGTCTCTCTCTCTCTCTCTCTCTCTCATCAGCTGGAAACATTTCTTTTTTTAGGGGAATACTATGCAGGTAGCGAGCTCTTGTGTGTAAGTATTCTCTTTATACGCGACTCACTACCTGTAGTCGAAACATAAAAAAAGTGAAAAATACTTATAGCAGATTACTTATAGAAAACAGGCCAAGGGACAAAATAAGCGAAAAAAGCGGTCATCGAGCAGTCTCGTTTTTATACGTTAGAGGGGTGAAGCGTGGAATATAGAGGGTAAAAGTAAGTTAATAGTCGGTAAAACGGTATTCACCCTACGCTGCCTCCGTAGGCGTTCCTCAAATTTTTTTTGTGCCACTTTCATTCCTCGCAGAAAACTGCTTGACTCGCATAGAGCAAATATTTGCAAGGCGTACCAATAACAAGTAAAATGCAAAACTCCTCGTTTTCATTTTCCTTTCTTAAGCTTTGAGAAAAAGTGTCCGTTGAACTACAATCGTAATTAGGCAAAATCTTGCAATATATTCTCTGAAAAATCGTCTTTTATAATAATTACGCAATCTCGACATGGTGCTTTCTATTTACCAACTGGTTTCGTTTGACTACTATGACATTCTTTGCGAGCATCGACACGGAATCAGGCCATGTTGATATGATCAAATTCCAATCGGCTTAGTTCACCCGATCATTACATATTGACAAAAGCAAATTATCACTATGATTATTATTGCGAGGAAACGGAATGTATGTGTGCAATACTTGAAGCAAAAGCATATTATCTCCAACATCTTGTGCCAAAAAAAGTTAATTTTTTATCATCTCAATTGGTATCGTGAATTTATTTGCTAAAGAATATCCGAATAACGTATATATATCCAATCTCTTAGTCTATTAAATGGTAAAATAATTAATTGGTCTAGTGTCAAACAATGGTAAATTTCAACATATCAGATATTTAAAAAATGTTAAGCTCGGTTCACAAACGGCGGATTACAAAAAAAACCAAACCTTCAGTTAGCATCGTGGGAAGTCACTAAAATGCGTTTATATTAATTCCAAAGGGGTAAAAAAAGGGAAAAGAGTTCTACAGGGAGTGGCTAAGGCTCCGATGTGAAAAAGAGAATTGGATTCTGTTTTCTCTGTGTGAGTCTCCCCCCATCTCCTTTTCTTTCCTTCTCTTTCTGTCTCTCTTTCTCTCTCGCTATAAAAGACTCTGGGCATAAAATGAAAAAGAGGCTTGCACTCAGGCTCACACGCACGCATACAAAGCAATACTTGAATTGGACAGCTTATCTGTAATACGTAATATGCGCATTTCAGACGAGTAACAACAAATTTTCCGCAATCGCACATCCTCGAGTGCAGGGCTTCTTTAAAAGCTAATAGTCTCGACAGCAATAAATGTTTAGTTGCAATTGCGCTTCCGTCGATACTAAAATCAATTATGGATGATTTTGCAGTCTCAAACATATAAATGAGAAGAATGGGCATTGGGGCAGCTAGGAATACCTTCTGATGGATTGGTCATCCGTGATTAATTTGACAAGTTGACTTTCTGGTTTTCGTAAAAAAGAAACATAGAGACGAAGAGAGAGAGAGAGAGAGAGAGAGAGAGAATGAGATGGGTAAGACTGACAAGGACTCCAAGATCCTTTCTTCACTGACTGAACTAATGGACTCCCTCAACACTCTGGTACTTTGCAAGCCCGAACGGCATTTAGGTAAATTAAAGTTTTTAAAAAAACAAACGTTATTAAATAATCGATAAAATCTCGAAAGAAGCAAAGTTTCGTATTGAATAATGTACAGTAACGTTTCAACTACCCACACGCATAACTTTGTCTTTTCATCTCTCATTCTCGCTTCTTTCTTGTTCTCTCATCGATCGAGGCCGGCATGTACATGCATCGCCCTGTACGTTGCACAAGCGCGATGTCTGAGCGACTTTATGAGTTATAAGTCAGCCATCTTGTGCACTGTAAGCAATCGTATATTCGCGTATACCAACGGCAACAGCACTGGTTGTCAGAGTTTCACATGTGCGAATCGTTCAAGTTACCTACATGATTACGGCACTCTTTCCGCCGCTAACTAAATATTTCACGTGCAGAATATCATCGGAAGACTATAGAAATAAACCAAGGCACATATAGGCGGCATCGTAGACGACGCTTCAGGTGAGAAGATGTTCAAACTCGTACGCTCTATCGCGAGTGTCCTATTATTTGAAAATTGCGCTGCTGCTACCGCTGTCAAATATCAAATACTTTTCGTCGCGAACAATCTATACTTAGAAATAAATTAACGTCGATTATGAATATTCAGCTGTGAACTGTATGCTTAATCGACATGAATGCTACCGAAGAGAAGTAAGCCTAGGAGCCTTCGACTGCGATATACGTGGGTAAAAATAACTTTGCTTTTTGCTACGGCACGCGGAGAAGAATGAGGGAAGGAAGAGAAGAAGACAGAGACGCGGTTATGCATAACGCTGAGATCTGTCGTGTTGAATTATGCCCGAGTAGTTTACAAAATTACTTATCTTTTTCATGAAAAAGGTTGGGCTTTGCAACGACCGTTGGCATAAGCTTCGTCGGTCATTGGTGGAAAAATAGATAGATTGTCGAGTGAAGAGTGAAGAGTGCATAGGACTGACCTTTATAGGGGAGATTATGAGAGGCTGTGTTTGCGCTCAAAAGACTAGGTGTCAATTGTCTATTGACGTTTCGGGCTAATTCGGTGCTGCCCGTCAGTCCGTAGATTGCTAGGAGCTCCTGCATAGTTGACTCCGCGTATTCACACATATTTTCGAAAGGTTTATTCCCAGCAACGCTTTCACACTCCGCCGTTTCCATTTCAGTCTCCGTTTCGTCTTGATTATTTAATATTGACGAGCTCTCCTCGTCTTGTGCCTCTTGCTCGTCCAACTGGCTCACTTGCCCCTGCTCCAAGGTACTTTTCGTGCTTCTGCCCGATGATTCTGAGGTAGGACTTCTCGCCTAGTCGAATGAAAATTGTTCGAGTTTCATGAATTAATCAAGCTTCGCTCCACTCGTCCTAACGAGCTAATACTCACATCGGTACGCGGAGAAAAGAGTTTATGAGATTCGAGCTGCTCTAATATGAATTTATGTCTAAATGAATCATCTGTGTCTTCGTCAGCTTCTGCCGAGGAAGGTGGTCTTGTCGTGGTTACCGAGAGGTCCATTGGAACTGTTTCATTGTTATTAAGCCTTTGGCTCGCTGCTGCTGCTGCTGCTGCTGCTGTAATCTGCTGAGCTTCTGCTGCGGTGTTGCGGCAATCATTTTCTTGCTGTAGAATGCTTTTCACTTCGTAATCCACGGCTTCATCGTTCGATCGATCGTTGCTTACTTCCGGAGATTTCGCGTACTCTTCTTGGCCGTCTGCATCCGACTCGTCCGATATTTCGGCCATACGACTGCTGATTGGCTTGAAATTTTTCCGTTTGTTACGTGGTTTATTTTGTACATCTTGGAGCGAAATTTGACTCGTAGACTGAGATGACTGGATACTAGCAGCCAGCTGTAACTTTGTACTCGAACTGTCGTACAGCTGAGAATCGCTGCAATCTTGATCGGCCGAGCTGCCACCAGCTGAGTTAGCCGCGCTGCGACGAGTAGACGAGCTTGATGTAAAATTGTATACAGACTCCGAAAGCATATCCGCTGTGAACAAACAAACGGCAATTAGCCTTGTGAGACAAACGAAATGCTTCGAATTGGCGTTCATTGCTAAAATAAAATCTCGATATTTCTTACTGCAAGCTCCATACGGACTTGTTACAGCAGACATTGCAAAGCTCTACGACAAATTACTTGTCACAGCATTCTGAAACACAAATCGTATACCAAGTACTGCTGAAAACATCCATCAAAGAGCATAAGATTTTTCTTTCATTGTTGTCATTATTGTATTAGCAAGCTAAGTTAGAAAGAAGATGATTATTATGAACAAACTAGTTTGGAGATGCGGATAAAATTGCGAAACTGGTTGGGCTGAAAATGTGCAGGCATAGTACGGTCCGATGATCGCATTACACAGAACGGATTTTCAATTTACGAGCACGCAAGCACGCATCTCTTTCCTTCCTCCTCGAGGCGTTACTGCGTGTCGTTTATGAGGCGCCATGAATAAAAATACTTACTCTTGGCTGAGCTGTCGGCAAAAGAAGCAAGGTAAATCATGGAAGTAAGAGTGTAGCTTGACTCGACTCATGCGTGTTAAATTGCAACAATGCGAACGCGGAGCAATGTACAGAGAGAGAGAGAGAGAGAGAGAGAGAGAGAGAGAGAGAGAGAGAGAGAGAGAGAGAGAGAGCCAACAGATCTGCAAGAACGATACGTGCGTGTGCGTGCATGCATGCCAGCTCGGTCTACCTGCCTATGAGTGAGAGTATAAGTGAGCGACTTTACTCTCGGACTCTTTCAAGGGTGATAATGTATTCTAGGTCCGCCCCGTGTGGTGGGGCTAGGAAAATGGGCTGGCTCACACGCAATAGCCATTGTAACAGTTGTTAATTATCCCTTCTGTACATACCAAAGAGAGAGAGAGAGAGAGAGAGAAAGAGAGAGAGAGGAGGAGGAGCATGCCAAGAGGGGATGCGCTTGTCGATTGGACATCCCCGCGGTAACATTGCGTCTTTTGGTTATCAGCAAAGTTCGCACATTCGCACCTATGACTTTCGAATCAATCGAACGGAAAATTACGTCGGATAAACAAAATCCCAAATAACACGTGTTTTTGTTATATTTTATTTATATTTTATTTGATTATCTGAAACAAAGGGGCGCGTTCGTACGAAATAATCATCATATCGTTGTTGGCAAGATTTTGTACGTAAGCCGAGAAGTTGAGATAAAAGAATGAAAAACAGGGGATTCTTGGAAGCTGGCTCGGCAAGTCATAACAATTCTCGCAGAGCGAATAAATTGATAAAGGTAAATTGATGAAATTGTTGCAAGGCAGAAAGCAAGAAGGAGCGAGTATAGAGGAAAGAGCCGTCGAACGCTCGTCTGGCATGCCCTACACTGGTAAGTTTTTCTCCGTGCATACGCCGTTCACTAATCTGGTTAGATCCACTTAGCAGAACACTGGCCATTTAGGACCTGAATGCGCAGCCATTCGTGTAAGTGCGTACTGGCTGGCAGTTGCGAAAGGCGTTGATCCTCTTTTCAAGAAGCGCGCTAAAAAGTCTTATTATAAGCGCTCGAGAGGCCTATGGGCGAGAACAGAAGCAACAGGTTAATTATTTCGTTGCTTATAAGCTTTTGTCGAGGGAGCTTCCGCCGCGCCGATCGGTGTCGATGCTCCGTGCTCTGGGATCGCTCAAAATTGACGCTCGGATGCGAACATTTGAATAGTTGACGAGTAAGGAGTACCGAACGAAGTAACAAGATACAGAAAGAGAAACAGAGAGAATGATCCGAGAAATAAGGTTGATTCGTCCGGCTGGGTTCGTGGTACAGCGCGTTCTCCCCTACTCCTTCGAGGAGAGGAGAAATGACGGGCCGATCTGGAGAGGGAAAGAATCAACTGTCGTGGTAAAAAAAAGACGAGAGCTCGGGCCTCGCGCTCAAACAGCCAGCGCAGAATGATGAATCGTTTCTATTAAAATACTTTTTCGACGGAGAATATAGAACGAGCATTCAGCAGTGAGCGAACACCATGATCTGGATTTATTTACATATTTTCAATCCGGATTAAGAGGTACAGTCGATCGCAAGACCTAAAATCGGCAGAACTCTCGCAGAAATCGGGCCCGAGCGCACTTTGCACCTTTTCGAACCGAGTCGAACCAACTGTGCCGAACGAAAGGAGCTGCGAGGTGGACGTGGCCCTCTCATCGAAACGCAGAAAAAGACAGCGGTGGCAAGATGCAGCGACCATTCGACAAGTACCAAGCGCATTTCGGACCGATTCCAGCAAAAATCCTCGAGGTGATAAATGCACCGGAGCTATCACGTCGGCAAGCTATTAACATAGTGCGCAGTGATAAAACGTAATAACAAATTTTAAAGAAATCCAATATAGAAAAGGAGCAGTGCTTGGCTCTCGGAAATTCCATCGACGAGATCTTATCCCCCGCTACTCGACCAAGTCCATTAATCACATCGTAACTCTCTTTCTCTCTTTTTCTTTCTGCCGTGCCTCCCTCTACCTTAGTATCTCTTTGTTACACAGCCGCCAGTCCTCGAGCAGCTCTGCTTTCATTTGTCACATATTAGGCGCTGCTTCTGCCGCCGCCGGATTCACGCAAACTTATTCATCTGCAGGGGCTATAACTTCATTCCGAATACCTCGCGCACTCGTGCAAATTAATGCTAGAAACTAGACGCCAATTATGCATACCTGCAGAGCTTCGTGCAACGTCCTTTGCTAATCGTTTCTAAATTATCGCGCTCCTTCGATAGATCGCCAAACCATTGCGTATCGGTCAAATATCTCTTTCGAACAGACTCTGAAAATACAGGGTGTTCTGCCTAGGTCACAACAACTCGGAGCACTACTTGCGTTGACGAGACTTTTTTTTTTAATTACATTTCCTTTATTCGGACCGTAAAGACCATCCGTCTTTCGACTGCTGCAAAATATTCGTGCTCATCGCCGACGGCTAAGTGAAGCTTCATTTGCAGAAAACTCAAGCGTGCAAGTCAAAAATTACCGCCAGTCAATTCCACGGAAAGTCAGATAAAGAAACAATAGTCTACCCATCGAACAGATTGACGTCGCAGGTCATCGCTCCTCTACTCCGTTCGTGCACTCTTAATTGCCACACACTCGAAATACGAAACGATTTGAGATTACGAAAAAGAAACTAAAACGCAGACCAAACATTGCATTGGTGTACATAAAGAGAATATTCACAATGACATATCGGACGGCTCGTGATTGCTCCAACTCTCAGGGTAGCGATACAAAAGATAGAATAGACTTTTAGTAAAGACGAAATCATAACTACTTTATTATTGTCGAAGCGTAGTTTTGCTGTGCAACAACATGACGAGTCAAATGAGCAAAGTCGTTCAGTTTAAAATAAATTTGAGATCGACGCTTTAGCAGCTTTGTGGAAACATCGCGATTTAATGTTGCACCTCCGCGCAATAGAATTAAGAGGTGAATAAGCATATCGTAAATTTAAATATAGCATTCAAACAAAATGAAAGAGCGAAGCCGAATAAGAAGGGAAAGAGAGAGAGAGAGAGAGAGAGAGAAGAAATATATAAACTCAACAATAGGTAGAAAAAAATTTAGATTTTATTTTATTAAAAAACTGAAATATGATATCAATGCTTTGTCGACAACTCATTTGCTAAAACAAAAAATTAAATAAATCAGAAAAGTTTTTGCATAAACGGCACACAAGTGACACAAGCAGCCCTGTAGCATTGCCCTCTTTTGTTGTTGGTGTTGACGCGATACGAGAAGTCGAAAGATGCTGAGGTTAAAACCGGTTGTAGCTTGGTTACTCTAAAGATAACCTCATGTACGCAAGTAAAAGAGAAAGAATCAGCGCATTCCGGAAGTTCCGGTTTCTTTGCGCCGATACTTCCGCGAGTCTACGCATTTTCTTGCGCCTCGAAAAATCAAAAGGTTTTCATCAAGAAAAAATGAAATTCACATAGCACTACAGTATTGCGAAGCTTTAAAATGATATTTGTATCTGCAAGGAAACATATAATACGTATATATATGTATGTATTCAGTTTTCTTACAACGTTCGCCTCACTTATCAGTCGGTGATCGGCGGATATAGAAAATCACTGATCAATCCCGCCACCGAATCGAATAAATAAATACTGTACATGTTATCGTCAAATGTTTTCCAAATTTACTATCCAAAGGTAAATATTGATAAATAATGCAATAGCCTATCCTTTATAGTTGCCTCAAGTGAAATAGTTGTACTATAACGAATTGGAGCTACAGTTCCTGCTACCTCGTCCAACCTTTCACCGCTTTACAATCCTTCTCTCTCCTTTTTCTAATAGTGAAATACCTACAGTTTCACACCTCAGTCCATTTTTCTTCAAATAATGGCCTTTTTTGAGAGGCATACCAGTACTTTTGTCTCGTTTTCAAGTTAATCGTGCTAATAATTTTCTCTACTCAGATATCTAACGTGAACGTTTTAAGGACAGTTATAGAGATACAGAAAGTATTTATCACTTACGCCTTCAAATGTAACCATTATCGTAATATTTACTGTACTGTGTGTCTACCATATATTAAACCTTGTAAGCATGTACGTACATAATCGTCAACACATAGTCAATAGAAATTACCTCCTCGGTAAATTGGGTTCAACTCGAGCTAAGTGTGCGCCGCGCTCACTGTGGTTATTCAAAAAGTCTTATTCGATTAATTGGCTGCATGAATAAAAATTCATTTCATGCGGTGGAAAAGAAAACACCGTACAACCACGGAATTTTCGTTTTCGATCAACTATTACATACGTTTGTAAACCTGACGTCTGAACCAGTGTATTAGTAACGAATAGTATGCAACTAGTAGAAAATATATGGAAATGTGTAGCACGTTTACTAACGGCTTTCTGGTAAGCGCAAACGATGATTGCACCTTCAATTTTCCGCGGCAAACAAAAAAACAGCAGTTCATCGAGGCAACAAGAAGACTTTTGATATGTGCTAACATTCAAGTACGTCAGTTAGCTAAACTACCAATGAAACTACAATGAATAAATGACTTTTAAGAAGAGTGCAGAGCATTGAGTAAAAGTCATCCGAGTTTTTACAAAAGGCGGAAAATTAATACGTAAAAACACTCATGCGCATGCACATGCACACATAGGCATTGTTTCGAAAATAAGAGTTTTTTCAGTAGTTTACCTTGAATTGATCAAGTCAGCAGCGAGGTACATGACTTTGAAAACTATATTTCAGGCACTGCTTGCTGCAAGCAGCAGCCTCGTAGCAAATAAAAAATTGGTTCGTAATCACATAGATGCAGCACTGTTGTTGCACTTGTACAAGCTCAAAGTTTGTCGCACATCTCAATTAAAGCTGACACCAACTCACGATAAAACCTGTAAACATCCACATGGTCTCAAGTAAGATGCAAGTCAATCTTCACTTTTAGGTCGATAAGTTGATTGAACTAGTTGCAACTATAACTACTTTTTTTAGAGCACGTAACACTATTTGAGCGAGCGACGAGAGCAGTCCAACGGGATTGATGCTAGGGCTAGCGCAGCACTGATATACGCTCGACTTGATCTGTGTGTGAGCGCGCGTGTTGGGAGTGTAACCAGAATAACATGTGTAACGCATAAAAGTGTGGATGCGCGCGTACTTATGCATGTATATGATGTGGGCGCACGTTCGCACAACACACAGGCCAAGGAATGTTTTTTTTTTTTTTTCTTTTTTTCTTTTCTTTTTTTTTATTCCAATAAATTCCAAACAAATGCGAGAAAAGTTGTCGACAATATACTGATCGGATGAAATGAACGAGGTATCGATTTGCAACGATCGAATAATTTTGAAATTGCTCTTGTAGACTGCCCTATTATTGCTTCATTCGAACAGAAAATATTTGGAATACTTGTTCCTAAATGCTGATAGTTTTCTTCTTATACCCCCTGCGTCGTCCACTGTTTTGAATCGCACACGTGCACTCGAAAGAGATTGCGATAACAAGCGTAGGAGAAAGAAAGATCGAGGTAAGACACATACACTTGCACACGGAGACACAACTATGCTCATGGCTCGACTGGCGCGAGGTGACTGAGTAAGCCCCCCGTTTCGACGATATGCCGGTTTCCGCAAGAGGGCGAGAGTAACAGAAGGATGGACTTTTCTTTGCGACCCCCCCACTTTACAACTTGCTCTCTGCTCCGCCCCTTGTGCATGTACAATGTACATACAGAAGAGAGACGCAGACCGAGAGAGACGGAAACAGGAACATATACAGATAGGCAGAGAAACAAAGAGTAAGAGATAGAGAGACAGAATGACACGCCATTTAAAATTAATAGATTGATCATTGCTTCTTTCTATATTTTTTTTCTCTTTGATTACTTCCAAACTTTCAATTATTCATAATCCAAATTTCAATGAAAAGTCAGTTCTACATTTTAGTTTAATTATAAAGTTGATTCTACACGCGTGCGTGAATCCTTCAAGTTACTATTGAACATTCAACACCTTAGCAATGGTACATTTAACAAGCATTGAAATCTTCGCATATTTGGGAAAATGGAAGAAAATACGCACGATTTACGCGTGCGCGGTGCTTCCAGTATCGCCCCCTCTGAGGCAAATATAGTTTCAAATCTGCTTCAGCGTTTCAAGCCTCGGTGAGCTGTTTTGTCAAGGCGCGTGCGCGGATATACGACCTACCCAGTCATATGCCGCTTTCATTATAACCACTTCCCCAGGGCTCATTACTGCATCCCGAATGTGACGCTTATATTTGCGAAAAATTTTAAAGCTTCATTTAAACTTGAGCATGTGGATAATAGTAATATAATATATTGTAATCGGTATACTAAGGAAAACATAGAATAATGCTACATGTTCTATTGGTACAAGCTCTATCAGATCTTTATATAAAGAACACGTGCTTCTTCAAATGACGAACACCATTACTCATAGGTATAAAAGTCCAATGATATTATTTTTCCATAAAAATATGAATTTTAACTGAAATAACAACATCGCGTATCGTGCGATTTACAAAATTCACGAAATATAACAAAAATTATTATATTATATAAACATATCTTTTATAAAACGAAATGAATGAGCCGCGTTTAAAATGGGTTAGGGTGTAAAGAAAAAAAAGATCAGTGACACTCCCTTCAGAACTAACAAGAGTATAGCTGACTGAATTGACCTATTTCTCAGTCTCGTGCAACCCTTTCCTCTCGTGCCACCCTTCACTCACAAAAAAAAGAAACTAACGGGTCGTTTACGCTTTTTCCCACATTCCAAATTTCACTAGTTGCGTTCGTGCGTCAAACCCTTGCATATACGTTACGCGTCAGCAGGAAGTAGTCGAGTTAAAACGGTACTTTTCTCTGTACCTTGTTTCCACGTGAATTTCTGGGATAGAGAATTTTACTTACACGTACTTCAATGACATTGCTACTATTTGAAATCAAGTTACTCTGGATAACAAATGATTAACTTTTTAATAATTCGCGTTTTCACAGATTCTATCTGCAAAGTCAATAAAGTGGCCACTATGATCATTATGTCAGAAACGAAGCGTCATCTGAGTTACTCATGTTTACTAACATTTTATCGCTCCTTCCACTTTTGCATAATGCATTAATTTACTTGAGTATCTATTTTTGTGCATAGTTGTAAGGAATTAAAAATAAGGTTAAAAAATGCTGTTGAGTTGAAAAAGCTGATTAACTTACTTCTTATAACTCGGCATATTTAATAGTTCAACACCGTACCAAGAAGACTGCTTAGAATAAACTGCTTCAAACGTATTTACAATGTAACGGTTTATTTATTTTCTACGTACTATTGGTATCATAGCTAACGAAACGTCGTAAAGTACATCATGATTGTTTTTCTTCTATCTGCCAAACCTTGCTCTCTCTCTCTCTCTCTCTCTCTCTCTCTCTCTCTCTCTCTCGGATTTATGTGCAGATTCATTAATTGCTTCAGCTCAAGTTCAGTTAAGAATTTACCATTTTAATGACATTAGTACTTGATTAAAATACTTTGTACGTGTGTGTGTGTGTGTGTGTGCGCGCGCGCATGTGTGTCTGCATAAGCATCCGTATATTGCATATACTTTCTGTAGATAGTAGGTATGCACGAGTATTATATGTCTCGGTGTCCAAGAAACAGGATATCCTTTGACTTGACTTGGAAAACAATCGATACGAAAGAGACTTTCTGCAAGCGAGTAAGTCGATATACAAGCAGTAAGCCTGATCTATATGTGGAATGCACGTACATGTATCATCTTTTAATAAGCACTCGAGCTTTGGCTTACGTAAAAATCAATTCTCACGATTTGTTTGTAACAAGCTCTCCGTATTATTTTATTTTCTCCAAGCTTTTCCAGAAAACAATTAATCTCTTTGCGTCAATAAATTTAAGTTCATCAAATACCATTAATGCAATATTTATACTTTTCAAATAAATTTTATAAAATATAATTGAGCGCGTTGTCTAAAATCATTGTAGAATAATTTTACAACAAACTGCCTAAAATGCTACGTAATCATGATTCATTATGTAAAAAATATATCAACATACGAGGCTTACAAAATCAAACGAAAGTCTAAAGAAGAAAACATTCTCCGGACGTATTGCAATTTACATGCAAGAGGCGTCAGTTTGCTCCTTCATGCTTTTCAATAGGTATAAATTTTATGTCGCTTTCGGGAAATGAATATAATCAAACTTTGGATTGTTCATGAAGTGACATCCTGCATTGTAATTACTTCTTTGATTTCGTTTATTTTACATATAATTAAGAATGCATCATATGTCCGCATCTTTTTCTTTCCGATAAATTACAATGCCGCATATCGACTTTGCCAATATTAATTAATTAACTTGGAAAAAAATAGAACTTGAATAAATAAGTTTATTAATTAAATCGCAATTGCTTTAAACAGTTGATTGACAGTATAAGTTGCTACGGATGGTATATTGAATAAAATTGTTGTTTATATAAATATTTGTTACATGAATTCAAACAGTTTACATTGATTATACGCTATATCCTGGCAAAGGAATACTTTTATGGTAACCGTAACAGAAATATTAGATATTGACGACACATATCGTAAGCCGCATTTGTAACTGTTTTTAAATGTATCGGTGTGATTGAGTCTACAATTATTTTTTAAAAACGCGATCACGTCGTTGCAAAATAGTTTCACGACACGCGGCGAAAAATATAGTTGTCTTCGATTATCACAAAGCAAATGATCACTTTTAGAGGTATCACCTTACTGAAAAGAAAAATTGACGTGAAAAACAATTATTTGTTATATTTATAAGAAAGAGAATATCTATATAACGGCGACAAAAATAAATTATCGAATGTTCTTTCCGCAAAAATAGCATTAAAAAAATGTGTAAACATTTATAGTAAGATCGTAGAGTCGATATAATTATGAAAAGTATAAAATATCGAGAAAAATCCATTGATATACAAAGTCAACATATGCAACTGACTGTATATATACTGTTTCTTGAAGGCTGGAGGCTAAGGAAACACGTTTACCTATGGCGGCAGCGAGAGCAATATCGCTTAACGACCGTAAGACCCCTTGGAAAACAATAAGCGCGCGAGATCCTTTCGATTAATGGCCGTGAAATTTCCATATGCAGCCGCCGCTGCCACCGCCGCCGTTCTGGCGTCGAGGGCGGTTTGACATTTTTATTGGAAATATAACCGGTTTCGTTGACTGGCGCTTGCTAAATATTTCGTTTTCTCATGATCTTTGTGTGCGAAATTTTAGAATTATAAATTGCGCATAGTTTTTACAGTAAATAATATCGTGAAATAAACTTTCGGTACTGATTATATTAAAAAATAATTCAAGTTTAATCATTGTGAACGATATATATACATATATATACATATATATATGCCTTTGTACATCTCAAATACGTACATGATTCATTTGTAAAATAAAATACAAAAATAAAATATAAACTTACAAACAACAAGTAACGCTTAGTCTACATGAAATCATATATATACTTTTAAATATATAACCATAAAAATAAATGTCGATACTAATCTTTGAGTGTGAATAAGTCCATGCTTGTATATAGACTTTTATAGAGAAGCTGAAAGATGAAGAGATGATCACACAAAAGTAGCCATAATAGTAACAATTTAATTTAATAAATATATCTTTATATATTCATATATGCGTGATGAGTTTCATCAATCAATTTCAGCCGTTTTCTTTTTCTTGTTGTACCTATATGGCGGAAGCGAAATTGTAAGTATAAATGCGTACACATTTTCTCTCATTCCTGCACGTCAAGAAGCAGCAGACATACTTCCGGTTTGAAATGTTAATTGAATTGAATTAAGAAAGTACCGTTTTCAATACTAACATATTTGGATAGCCTCAAATTCCCATTGCAAAGACAAATATGAAGAAATAAGAAATCTCGGAAAAATTGCATAGAACCATGTCATAATAAATTTTCCTTTGTTCGTGTTTTCATCAATGAATGCGTGAAAATTGAACATGGAAAAGATAATTTGTTAGTTTATAATTCTAAAACGAAACTTCCTGTATGAAAAGTAAGAATGCAGCATAGATACCGTATAATTTATTCTATCTCCGTATAAGTTTTATAAATTAAATTAAATTCTATATTTAAAAGTTCTATATAATCTGTATAAAAAAGTGATGACCTGTCAACTGAAGTCATTTTATTCGTGATCGAATTGATCGAAAGGTAGTCACATGGATTACCATCATGTGGCAGTATGTATGTTTATGTACATGTATTGAACTTTAGTTAGGCATTAAAAAAAAGAATAACGTCCACATTCACTCAAAGGCTACAACTTAAAATAATCTTAATGCACTCAAATTACATTTACTCTTAGGGCATACATATATTGAATATATATTATAATGTTTAACTTCAAATAAACATCATTAGCAGTGAAAAGATTCATAAACCGATAAATTATTTCATTAATAATATACTGTGAACTAATTTATGCAGTAATTTATT